GGGATATTGTCACCAGATGCAGGCCACCAGTTCTGGTGGCCAGAGAGTTCTAGTCTCATTGGAGAAGGAATTCAAGGGTGGACACAGGAAGATACTTAAGAAAGATCAGGTTTAGTAATGCAAAGCAAAGCAAAGCAAAAGCTAGACAAAAGTATGCCCTCCAGATGGGATAGTGGGCAGGCTCAAGATGGAGCATTGCACTGGAGGTCCCAAATCTCAAGCTTTTATTGGGGTTTGCAGACTTGCGTTGGTTAGTACTGAAAACTGGAGTATTGTGCAACTCATTTCTGAAGACTGAGCTATATCTTTAGCTCCTGCTTCATATTGAGTCCAGGAATTCATGGCCTTGGATGGTCAGAGCAAGGCTGTCTTTTCCCGCAGCTATAGAAATGATGCATGCATGCCATGAGTCATTTGTTAACATCAGCAGCCAAAATGAAATTTCTTATCATTATCCAAGTCATCATTCTCAGTAATGTGAGGTGAGAAATAGTGTCTTGCCTCTTTCCTTAGTTCTGAGTTCTTAGTGCTGAGCTCAGGCTTCCATGTTGCATACCCTTATAGATCTCTTGAAGCTTCAGGGAAATACCAGGCAGTGTTCATCCAAGAGGTGGTTAAGGGCATTATTTGTCTTGTGACCTTGTAGTGTTTAGACTTACATGAACCTTAAGGTTCAAGTAGCAGGCCCATCACTGCAGTAAAAAGAATTGAAATCAAACATGCAAAAACCAAAGAAACACATAAACAACCCTCAGTGATCATGAGCAATGTTTCTTTTTAGGTTTGCAGGTTTCTCCAAATAAAGCTGTTTCTCCAAAGTGTCCCATGTTCCCTGCCTTTCTTTCTCCATTCCCCACATTTAGCTGACTCATCAGCATATCTCACAATGGTTTTTGCTGGTGGTGCCAGGCCTGTGTTCACCAGTTGAGTACAGTAGGAAAGGCACAATGGCTGCGTTTCATTAACTGAAATGCTTATTGTGTGAGTGTCTGTTCCTTTTTCACTGGGTGACATCCAGAAATAGTGTGTGCTGGAATGAGGGTGGTGTAGGCGCCTGCATGAGGCTGATCTTGCTTATCATTTTTAACCCAATCCTTCAAGGCAGTAAAGGGCTTGCTCTGAAGGCTTTGCTTCTGTCTGGGAAGCCTTTTCAAGGTGTTTCCATCCTCAATCATGGCAGGTGTGCCCCATCCCATATTTTTTAAACCTCATGATTTCCATTAGGCAGCACTGACATTTGCGCTACCACACAAACTGTTCTTACATTGTCATGTGCATTTGGTACCCCAAAGTCACATTGCTGATGGATTAGTTTTATAAAAGGCAGAGTAGGACTCCCCATGAGGTAGCAAGGCAAATTGCTCATCTCTTTATGGGGTCTATTTAAATAATGTAATAATTTAAATTGAGGACTTATCCACTTTGGTAAAGAGCCATTAAAGATTCATCTATGTGGAGCTCTCTGTGGAGAACATTTTCTCTTTTGCTTTTCCTTTTCTAACAGGAACTTACCCAGAACATTTGATTTGGGGCACTGTATTGTTGTATTGTTTTTTGTTTTAGTTTTTTTTTTTTACACAAAAAAGATTCCAGGTTCTTTTTGGGTGTATGTCCTGGGTGAAACTTACGCTCCACTTCTTTGCTTCATTACTAATGTGGCCATGACTCAGGTTAGTGAATTTTATTTAGAAAAGTGACTAACTGCAGAGCTGATGTTCTAGATGGGGACTTTACAAAATTTAGCTAACTGAATCTAGTATAAGTGTTCTTTGTGAAGTCTGCTTCCAACCTGTATTTTAAAATAATTTTTTAAATAATCAATTATAGGAGACTGATGTGATCATCTTTCCCTATTCTACCCCTAATTCTAGAGGTAGCTGTGATTACCCAGATTTAAAACACAATGGAGCTATCAAAGAAAGGCCTTATTAGGCCCAGACTCCCATGTTCCTTAACGAAGAAGCCACAAGGGACCAGTGTTTCTCTAAGGCTTCTGCTGTTTTGGCTCATTGGCTTTCAGGATAGTGCTTACTAGAGGTTGATTTGTCCCATCTGGCTACTTGGGGATCCCTTTTCTTCCTCATCATTCTAAATTTGGCCTGAAAAATGTCAAGTTGGCTGCATATATTTTGAACTCCCACAAGGACCATCTGGTCTTTTATTTATTTATTTTTGGTTGCTGTCATTCTTTTTGTGGCACTGGGGTTTGAACTTAGAGGTTCACACTTACAAGGCAGATAATCTACCCCACTTGAGCCATGATTCCAGCCCTTTATGCTCTAGCTCTCTGTGTGTGTGTGTGTGTGTGTGTGTGTGTGTGTGTGTGTGTGCGCACGCGCGCATGGGCACTGTCCCTGATCTTTTTTACTCAAGGCTAGCATTTTACCACTGGAGCCATAGCTCTACTCTTGTTCTTTTGTTTGTTAATTGTCTCATGAACTTTCCTGCCTGAAGTTGGCTTCAAACCTTGATCTTCAGATACCAGCCTCTTGAATAGCTAGGATTATAAGCGTGAGCCATTGTCATCTGCCTTGCTCTGGCTGTTTTTGAGAATAGGACTTGCCTTTTCCCAAAGTGGGCCTGCCCTATGAGCTTTCTGTCTGCTGTCTGTACTTCTTACTACAGCTGGTTATGACAGGTGTATACCATCACATCTAGCTGCTTCTGTTGAAATGTGACATGTCAGAATTTTTGCCTAGAGGGCCTTCAACTGTGACCTTCCTGATCTCATTCTCCAAACAGCTAAAGTTATGGGCATATCCTGATCTTTTTTTTTTTCTTCAGTGGATTGTGGGGCTTGAACTGTCCCTGAGCTCTTTTGCTCAAGGCTAACACTTTATCACTTTGAGCCACAGCTCTACTTCCAGCTTCCTCGAGGTTAATTGGAGATAATTTTCACGAACTTACCTGCCTGGGCTGGCTCTGAACTGTGGTCTTTAGATCTCAGCCTCCTGAGTAGCCAGACCAGTGGCCTGAGCCACTGGTGTCTGGCCATATCCTGATCTTTTTGCTTCAGTGTGTAACATGCTTATCAGTTGGTTCTCAGCAGCACAGTGAGGACCTCCCTGAATCATGAACATGCCACGCTCATCCTTGCTTCTTTCTCAGGCTCTTAGCTCTTTCTGGAATACCTTAATATCTGTCCCCATTCTTCCAAATAAATTCAAATGTAAACCATCTGACAAAACCTCTAGTCGCTTAGGTTCTTTTGAGCCCTTATTATGCTCCTTAGACTTTTGTTAGCCACATGTCCATCTATCCATCCATCCATCCATCCATCCATCCATCCATCCATCCATCCATCCATCCAAAAAAGAAAGGTTATTGATGCCTACTCTTCACCACCATAGGATATGTGAACTAAACAACCAAGACATGTCCATCTATCCAACCATCCATCCATCCCAAAAGAAAGGTTATTGATGCCTACTCTTCACCAGCCATAGGATATGTGAACTAAACAATCAAGACATCTCTTTCTCTTGTTGAATTTACATTCTAGATGGGGAGACAGCAATAGCACATGTTCAATAATGTAGTAATTTAGAAACGAATAAATGACATGTTAATGGGAAGTCATATATGATTGATCAGATGGAGGCATAAGATGCCAAACATATGAAATGGGCAGGGCTCAGTGACATGTACCAAAGTCATCATGATAATTACAGTAATTTTGTGTGTCCCTCTCCTTCCTTCCCAGAAAAAAGGACAGAGACTGGCTATACTCTTTACACCAATAGAATTCGGCTTAAAATGCCTTGAATGTACTCAGTGCTCTATAATTAGTCAAATGGGTTTTTCAGGCTCACGGGTGGTCAGAGCTATGACACCCTCAGATAACCTGGTACCCTAGTCCAACCAGGGGCCATGATATGAGGAAAGAGAAGGAAGAATGGGTAGGTAAGGATGTGAGTGATTATCCCCACTCCAATAGCACAACTCTTCTTCATTTTGACTAGTTTCATTATGTTTTTGCTTCTGTATGAGAGTTTGAATGAAGGAAGTGTTCTAAGGTTAAAATACTTTGGACAAAACAATTTGTTCTAAATCAGCTTCCTCGTTTTCCAGTGTGGCCTCAGGAAGGTGAGATGTACATGTCTAACTACAGTTCTAACATAAGTTTGAAATAGATCTCTCTGAGTTAAGGGCATGGCTCAAGTAGTGAGTGTGTATGTAGCATACATAAGGACATGGGTTCAAACCCCAGCACCACCAATGAGGAGAGAAAGAGGGGGAAAGAGAAAGGGAGGGGGAGAGAGAGAGACAGAGACAGAGACAGAGACAGACAGAGAGAGAGACAGAGACAGAGACACACAGAGAACAGAGACAGAGACAGGAATAACAAAAGAAGTTTAGCTCTCTGGGATGGCTTCCTTATTATCTACCTTATCAACTTAATATGAGACTCTAGAGGGGCAGACAGGAAAGTACATTGTTATGCAACAGTCCAGTGTCAGTATTATCATATTCTTCCCCCTTTTCTACCATTACTGCAAGCATGTTGGTGGTTTCTGTATTTCAGGAAGCACTGAGGATCATTGCAGGCTCAGGATACCTCCCATATCCAGACAATGAATTTTCCCTTTACTCTGCATTCTGTCAGGCTTTTATATGAAGTTTCATTTGAAGCTATAGCTCATAGAACACCAAAGAAAAATGGAAAAATATGCATGAGTTTTGTAAATGAAAACAAAGATCTGTGTGTGTTTGACATGCTGATAGTTATCTGTGATTATGGAGATGACTAGTTATAAAATGTTAGGGCAATGATTGGCTGGATATCTGGTTTCAGACAATTGCTCTACTTTGGAGGTGCTGTGAATAGATTGGCTTGAACCAAATAGACTGAAACTTACCATGGAAATCATTCCCAAGGCATTTCATTTTTTGACTATATTTGTAACTGATGAGATGGCTTATGGTAAATACAAGGTGGGAAGTAAGTGGCACGTGGTATCTGGCATGATGGTGCTTTCTTTTTTGTCTTCATATTTTAGTGCACTTACATTTCGATTGACCAAGTTCTGAGGACCCATGCCATAGTGATAAGCAGACCTGCCTGGCTTTGGGGAGCAGAAATGGGAGCCAATGAACATGGAGTATGCATAGCCAATGAAGCCATCAATGCTAGAGAACCTGCTGCTGAGACTGAAGCCTTACTGGGGATGGATCTGGTCAGGTACTGTGCAATGATTCTTTGAAGCTACTGTGTGGAAGAGGTTGGAACCAGGAACAGGATATATTTCCTTCTAAGCCTCACATTCTGTAATACCTTCCTCCTAAAGATGATGTGTGCTTCTTCATAGAAATTTTGAGGTGTGAAAAAAAGAATAGATTGTAATGGAACATTATTCAGCAGTATAAAAACATCAAATACTGCAATGTGCTATCATATGACGATCTTAAAAGTATACCAAGTAGAAGCTAGAAAACTCACCTATTATATGACTCTATATGAGATATAAAAGAAGGCAAATTCAGAGAGGCAGAAAGTAGAATAACGGTTGCCTAGAGTTGGGGTGGGGTGTGGTGGAATGGAGAGTGATTTCTAATGGGTATAAGGGCTTCTTTTTTGAATGCTGAGAATGTTCCAAACTTAGTAGTGATAGTGGTATAACTTTGTGTATAGGTTAAACTCACCAAACTACAGTGTAAGTGGTTGAACTTTACTGTATTTGAAATACACTATTATTATGAAAGAAAAGATTTAAGGTGTAAAAAGCAAACCCTGAAAGAAAAAAGAACACAGATCACTTTTTTTTCTCCCCACTCTATATCTCAGTTGTCTTTTCTTCCTTTTCTTCTTCTCCCAACTTCTATGTTCCAGAAGGAGCTCGATGTAGGTGCTGAAAGGGCAGGGATCTTTGTCTCATTGCTCATTCCCATGTTATAAGCCCTGGATACTGGCACGCAAAGGGTTAACAACATCTAAATTTTGAAAGAATGACTATAGGAAATGCTAGGGTAGGTCAAAGCACATTTTCTAAGTGGCTTTCTTTTGACTGAAATAATGAGATGAAGTAGAATGGTGCCATAGTTGATGAAAGGCTAAGCTAGAAATTGGCAGTCTTGGTTTATAGAGTAGATAGACCAAGTTGCATGTCTGTTGAGCCATGTTATCTCAATGTTTTCAACATGAGGTTTAGAGGAGATGACCTAAGGCTAACCTCCCATGAGAAGGAACAGGGATTTGGCATTCATTTATTTACTCATTATTTCATTATCTTCAAAGAGTTGTACAAAGAGGTTTTAATTCAGTAAATCAGTTTATAAGTACAATATATACAATATAATAAATCAATGTCATCCCTTCCTGACATTGGTTTTTCTAAGGGGAAACTGTACCTTTGCACGGGAGCCTCTGACTCATTGCGTCTACCAACCTAGTAGGAAAACCCTTTGGGTAAACCCTTTGCCTTTATGCAGTTCTTACCTTTCCTTACTATTCCTGGTTCTTATAAATGTGGAACAGCTTTCTCAAACTGTAGACAGGAAAGAAAAAGCCTAATATTTACCAGGAGGTTTGTCTTGATTCAAGTAATAAAATGTATAGAATGACAAAAGCTTTGAATTTATGTTTTGACAGCTCTCGCAGTCATTTTTAATCCCTGTACTTAACAGTCTGAAAACCGAGAATTAGCAATGAAAAACATGACTTTTACATCTATGATTTATAATCTTGTGTTTTGAGTTGTTATATTTACCGTGTGGGATTTATAGAATTGGCAAAAATCATTATGTTGATTTTAATTTCTAAGGGATGATGATCTAAGTCTTGAATAATTATTAACAGGCATGTCCCAAATACATTCTTTGCGCTACATTCCGTGGTGACATGAAGAAACTCAAAACTCTTAAGGAATTTTATTCTGAATGCAAGGAGAAGACAAAAAATTGAGCAATGGAAAATTTAAGATTTTTAACAGGAGAGAGATGACTCATGGAGATCTAAGAGGTGATATCACAGGAATCCTACAGTGTTTTAGTGTATGGCCTCTGGCAACACTGTTGGATGCTCAGAGATTGTCACAGGCATATTTCAGATGCTTTGAGGAGATGTGTTTGACTTGGATTTGTAGAACTGAGGAAGGGAGACAAAGAAGATATATTTGTTGTGCTAATTAGCAAGGCTGGGAATAATGACCAGTGTCGGGAGTAGATAACCAGAAACAGCTGAACCTTAAGCTTTTCTCTCTTTTGCTTTTGTTTTGCCTTTGTGTGCTCTCTCCCTTCTACCCCCCTTCGCTCTCTCGCTCTCTTGCTCGCTCTCACTCAGAACTGGGATTTGAACTCAGTGTCTCACTCTTGTTCAAGAGCACTTGAGTCATATCTCCATCTCCAGCCCTATTTTTTTGCTAGTTATTTCAAAGATAGAGTGGCAGGGACTTTTCTTCCTGAGCCTGGCAGGTTCTTCATAATAAAACCACATGTATCTTCATAGTGAGTAGGGCTTTGCCTTCAGTGTCTGGTTTAAGGTGTGGTCTCAGCATTAAGTTAGATATGATCAGCCAAGCCTGTAAGATTTTAAGGGTCCATTTCACATTAAGCAATTCCTAAAAGTGACTCCTGAGCTAAAAAAAAACCTAAGATATTTCTAGGGAAGCTCTAGGTGATATCTATGCTTTGGCTCCACAAACCAAGACTTGAATGGCCAGGTTCGAAGGCAGTGGTTATCAAAACATGTCTGGTGAACAAACACTGCTAGGGACATGTTAGAAATGTAAATTCTCAGTTCCATCATTCTACTGAATCTAAATGTGTTTAGTCTGTTAAACAAGAGCAGGGTTTGCTCAATAAAAGTGAGGAACCACTGCTGGAGAGGAAACTCTTCATGTGTTGACTGAACTTCTCAATTTGGGGCTCAGTATCTTCCTAGTCGTTGCTGTTTGTAACCCTAGTCCTTGCTTTGCTCTTGCTTGTCCTCATGATTAGCTGCCAGCTCTTTCCAGGACAGCCTCTGGGAGAGTAGGCTATTCACATTTTCCATTCCACCGTGAAGCTCTGTGAGAATGTAGCTGATTATTCAAAGAATAGAGTGGCTGCCCCTTATGTACTCTGGGACTTTTTACTTTCCCACTGCATATCAAGTTCATGTTCAGTTTCAAAAGAGGAGGCTTACATGAATGACAGCAGCAGTTCAATAGGAATTGACTAAAATAAAGGTACAGTTTGTATGTTCCTTAGATGCTTGTGAGAATGCAAGCATTAGGCAATTGTGTGAGAATTCATTTCTAGCAAGCATGGATGCTAGAATCTAAACTGTCTGTTTTGTGCTTTTCTTTACATCTTTTCCTCTCTCTCTCTCTCTTTCTTTGCTGGTTCTAGGGCTTGAACCCAGAGCTTGGGCACTGTCCCTGGGCTTCTTTTGCTCAAGGCTAGCACTCTGCCATTTGACCCACAACACTACTTCTGGCTTTATCTGAGTAGTTTATTGGAGATTAGAGTCTCTCGGCCTTTCCTGCCCAGGCTGGCTTTGAACCACGATTCTCAGATCTCAGTCTCCTGAGTAGGATTAACAGCACGAGTCACTAGTACCTGGCCTCACAAATTTTTTGACAATTAGTCCTTTTTCTACAATGCAAAGGCACATGAACATACACACATAAACACAATATCCAGCAGTTACACAGAAGCCAACAAAGATGGGATTTATTTTCTGATGTTAATGAGTCTCTTACAACTCTAGGTCTGTCTGTTGTGATAATGAATCTGGGCATCAATATGGAAGAGAACCATGAGGCTTCAGCCTTTTTAGTATACAGGGACATGTTTAATAATCAATGAGGAACATCAGAGAGGTAGTCTTTTCTGATAGTTTCATATGTAAATGTGGTGTCGACCACAGGCCCAAAGACCAGGAGTCCCAGGTTCTGTCCGGCCACTTGTTCCCCTATGCCAAATAAAAATACATGATGAAGGACAGAGGAAGGAGATTTATTACATAGCAATCATGGGAAGACAGCACTTCAGACCATCTTCAACCATCCTCCAAGGTCTGTACCTTGGCTTAAGGTAAAATGGGGAGAAGAATTAGGGGCAGAAAGTGAGAAAAGTATTAATAGTTACAGTCCCAGGACACAGATGAGGCCTAGTTGGCCACTAGCTCAGTCTTTGTCTCTGGAGGAGATCTGGAGAAGTTATTACTTTATTACTGGAGCAGAGTTTTGGCTGTTTGTATAAGATGATAAAAAAAAGACACTGCCTATTTGAGGGACAGTATGCCTTCCACACAAGATGGTTATCAATGAATCTGGCCTTTCTTGGTGACTGCAAAATTGACTGTAGTGGAAAATAGCTTAGATCAAAGGTCCCATATACAAAGTTGGGGGACTTGTAGTTAAGTCTTAGGACCCAGCAAAAGCATCTTTTAAGTTGTCTTTTACATAAACACTTCCACTGTGATAGAGTTTAAGATGCCATGATAGATTTCAAGATGCTTAATGAAAGACAATCCCTTGACTCTTGAGCTGGTACCAGCTGGCTCCTGAAGGTCACCACTGTCTCTCTGTGTATTGTGCCTCTTCACTTTACATAACTGCTTTACATTTCTTTCATTTGCTGACTTATGCTCTTCTAACTGATTAATGCTGGCATTAAAACTCAGTCAATCTCAGTATTTCGAACATCTCATTCTGAACACATTCATCAGCTCTCTGCATGTTAAACACACAAAATCCTTGAAATCAGGGGGAGAATTAGGAAAGATCTAAAGTTTGTTGTTAGTTGTTAGAAAATGTGAGAACTCACAGATAATGGAAAAGAGTCCCAGTCAATACTTGTAGTGGAACCCATATAATTAAAGCCACTGCCTCCTGAACACTCTGAGAAGATATGCTTTGTGTATATTATTCTATTTAATCATCACAATACAGTGAAGTAGGTCTGTTCCTTATGTTTGGTAGATTAGGAAACTGGAGCTTTGGATGACTAAAGGGCTTGCCTAAGCCCTAGATCTAGAAGATGGCTGAGTCAGGACTACTAGTGCCTGCTAAGCTCTGGGAAAGGGATTGGGGGGCAGATTCCTCTTTGTATTAGATCACACCATGCTTTTCTCAGTGAGATGAGAAACTCAGGACACTGAGAGATACAGATAAGTCAAAAAGTATCATACACTTTCCCCCTGTCTAAAAAGGAAATGCTAACACATTTTAGGTTGAAGTGGCATTTATTTATGATATATGAATCAGAGCAGCCTTCATTCTACAAAATAGAAAAGGAGCTTGCTCCTACCAGACAAGAGCAAAAGAGGAGATTTTTACCAAATGGAGATATGGAAACAGAAGAGCTGAAAAAAATCTGATAGGTTAATCAAGTAATCAAGTTACTTCAAGGTTTTTTCTTTCTTTCTTTCTTTTCTTTTTTCTTCTTTCTTTTTTTTTTTGTGACAGTACTTGGTCTTGACCTCCGGACCTGAGTACTGTTTTAGCTTTTTCACTCTAGGCTAGTACTCTACCATATAGCTCTGCTTTCAACTTGAACTCAAAGTCTGAGTGCTGTCCCTGAGCTTTTGTGTTCAAGGCTAGCACTCTACCACTTGAACCAAACTTCACTTCTGGCTCTTTGTTGGTTAATTGTAGATAAGAGTCTCATGTCCTTATCCAGTGGCCAGAAGACCAGATAAGGATGCTCATCTGAGCCAATTGAATATATTTCACCAAAGATCTCAGTCTGAGGAGTAGGGTAAAATCAGAATTATGTCTGTAGGGGCTGGGAAGTTGGGTCAGTGGTAGAGTGCTTGTCTCACATGCATGAGGCCCTGGGTTCGATTCCTCAGCACCACAAAAGCAGAAAAAAGCCAGAAGTGGTGCTGTGGCTCAAGTGGTAAGGCACTAGTCTTGAGCTGAAATGCCGAGTGGATAGTGCCCAGGCCTAGAGTTCAGGCCCTATGACTGTCAAAAAAAAAAAAAAAGAATTATGTCTGTAGACTGGTGATGAGGTCTTGCTGGGCATGCAGAATATCCAAGTTAGGGGCAAGTGCAAGTATTGGAAATCTCAGTGGACTGTAAGCAGGCACAGAACATGGTGGGGTGGGATAATGCAATAAGAACTGCAAAAGTGATGTCCCATTTTCCCAGGATGGGGCTATGGCAACCGGCTAGATATTCACATGGCCCTAGTGTATGTTTATATGGGTCTGTTGGGGCTTTGTGAGGGCCTTAGGGGACGCAGAAGGATCTGCCTAGAATATGTGTGTGAGGCATAGTGACTAGAGACCCCGGATCCCCAGAAGGAGGAGGAAGGAGGCCTTTTAGAGTACACAGATTCTGGTGATAAAAGGTTTCACAGTACTTTTTTTTATTCTGGATCTTCCAAGATAAGGCTAGCATTTGTTTTTGATACTCCCCTTAGAAGAAGGTGACTTTGGCAAAGGAAAAGTCTGCTTTTATACTTTTTTTGTTTGTGTGTGCTGATCCAAGGGCCTGGGTGCTGTCCCTGAACATTTTTGCTCAAGGCTCGACCATTGGAGCCACAGCTTCTCTTCCAGTTCTTATGGTGGTTAACTGGAGACAAGAGTCTCATGAGACATGCTCCTAAGATCTCAGCCTCTTGAGTAGCTCGGATTATAGGTATGAGCCACCAGTGCCTGACAACTTCTTTCAATTGGTTTATTCTTTATTTTTTCATGTCAGTGGGTAACGTGCCAAAGTTATGACAAAGTTTAAGGGAGGCCTAGCTCAGACAGCAGTGTGAAAACCCAATCATCAGGCTTATAAACCACAAAAAGAACAGGTGGCTCCAAAGCCCTAATGTTCAACTTTGTAAATCAAGACTTTGTAACTGCGTCTTCCAAAATGAGCTTAAATTGAGAAATATCAGATAGATTGGTATAAAATGATTTGACTATTAAATTTAAAAAAAAAGATCCCATTACAAGAATCAATCCATGTTTTATGGTTTCATTATCTTCTCCCCCGCCCCAGGATGCATGACACTGAGTAAATTTTAATAGCAGTTACTGTTCAAGTTAAAAAATCATCAAGAACAAGTTTATATCATCATCTCAGTAGTTCTATTGTCCCTGTCCTAAGACTCTTGAGTTTTTATTAACAGGATTATATCTGAGTGAACAGCTACATAAGTGAACGGAATACATAACATGAGCCATCTTCAGTCAGATCAGCCCGAGAAGACAGTAGCATGATTTTTTACTTTGCTAACCATAGACTAAAGAATGGAAAGATGACATTACTTCAGGTCATACTGCCAGCAGGTATCAGCGCCAGAACTGGAAGTTGGGTACCCTTAATCTCTGAATTGTGTATTTCTCTGCCACAGCGTTCTACCTCCTGAAATTTACCTCTCGCACAAGTAGTTCCAGACACTGGTGCTGTATGTTTTTATGTTCATTCTCTCGTAAAACCCATCTTTGTATCAGTACAATGACATAGGCATTTATCTTATTGAAAGCCTAAGACTGAAGTTCAAATATATTATGTGGTCTGCTTAAGGTCACAGCCATGACAGCATTCATACTCTCTTTAAAAGCTTCATTAATTTGTTGTATCAACACAGTAACATAGGCACTTACTGAAAGCTTAAGACTGAAATTCAGATATATTTTGTAGTCTGCTTAAGGCCATAGCCATGGCAGCATTCATATTCTCTTTAAAAGCTTCATTAATTGGTTGGGGCAGGTAAGATGCATGTCTCACTTCAGAGAAAATATGTGTTCTTTTGAAAACTGAAGCTGTAAACCATTGAATAGATGTAGGCTGATAGGAGGGAAATAATATTGAAAAGGGTTTGATTGTGTCTTTACCAACAGTCAGTCCATTTCTAATGAGATCTAGGGGAGAATGACATGCACAGAAGAGATTGGCTGACATTCAAATACCTTTATTACCAGTTGTCTTACCATACTTAGGATTTTATGACAGAATACTATAAACAGGGTATTTTTAAACAAGAGAAATTTTTTGCTCATGGTTCCAGAAGCTGGAAAATAAAAAAATTAAGATGCCAAAAACATCCAAAGTCGAAGTGTGGACCTACTTCCTGATTTATAGATGGTGCTTTCTTCTCTGTCCCTATGTGGGAAGGAGAAAGGCTACTTTCTTAGAAAGCACTGCTTCCATTTATGTTTCAATCACTGCCCCAGCCCCAAAGGCTCTGTCTCCTAATGCCACCCCATTGTGTGCTGGGATTTCCACATAAGAATTGTGAGATGACAGAAACAGGCCAAAGTATTTCCTATAGAATAGTAGAGATCCAGATAGGGCAGAGATTTCCTATTGCTTAGATGGTAGGCAGGAGGCAACATAGACCAGAGGAAAGGGGTCTTGCAAAGAGCCAGAGTTGATTTGGTTATCTCCACTGAACAGTCAACAAACCAAAAGAAGGCACTGGTCTCCCTTTCTAGGGAGAGAGACTTGGTTCATGATTTTTAGAGTGGATTTTATCTAGAAGATGGTCAAAGACAAAGAAACTTTTTCATGCTTTGTAATTGGATGTATGAGAGAAATAGTCTGAGTTAAAGTGCTGCTAACCCATTTGTACATTGATCTGAATATTTAACATGTTTACACACATTGACACACTCCTTGACTAAGCCTTGTCCCAGACTTTGGTTGCTATAGTTATGATCATGCAAAGGTCTGAAATGATTTAACTATATACTTCTGGTTTCCGGATTCAGGCTTGGTTTAGAAAGAGGAGCAACAGCAAAAGAAGCCTTAGATGTCATTGTCTCTTTGTTGGAAGAACATGGGCAAGGTGGGAATTACTATGAAGATGCAAACTCCTGCCATAGTTTTCAAAGTGCATACCTGCTTGTGGATCGTGATGAAGCCTGGGCACTGGAGACCGTAGGAAAATACTGGGCTGCAGAAAAAATCACAGGTGAGTGGGTATAGGGGGAAGGGATTAGTGTTTAAATTATTTATTGTTTTTTTTTTATTGTGCTGGGGTTTGATCTCAGGACTTTGTACTTGCTAGGTAGGCACTCTATTTCTTGAGCTGTAACTCCAGTTCTTTTTGTTTTAGTTATTTATTTTTTTAAATTTTTATTGTCCCTGAACTTTCTATGCTCCAGGCTAGTGCTCTGCCACTTCAGTCACCGCACCACTTCCAGCTTTTTCTTTTTTTTAATTTTATTTTATTGTAAAGATGCTGTATAGAGGGGTTATTGTTACATGACTAAGGTAACGAGTAAATTTCTTGTCAACCATTGTTACCTCCTCCTTTGTCTCCCACTAGATACACCCCCTCCACCCCGCCCGCCCCCAGCTTTCTGAGTAGTTTATTGGAGAGCTTTCTGAGTAGTTTATTGGAGATAAGAGTGAGTCTCATGGACTTTCCTGCCTGAGCTGGCTTCGAACCACGATCTGGCTTTCAACCTTAGATCTCAGCCTCCTGAGTAGCTAGGATTATAGGTGTGAGCCACTGGAGGCCCAACTTGCTCTAGTTATTTTTGAGATACAGTCTTGCTTTTGTTCAGGCCAGCCTGCACTGTAATCCTCCTGTTTGTGCTATGATGACAGGTACATGTTACTATGGTCAGCTATTGGTTCAACAGGGGTTTCAGGAAGTTTTTGCTCAGGATAGCCTAGAGCTATGATTCCTTGATCTCAGTGTCCCAAGTAGCTAGTATTACAGGAGTGAGCGACCAGGTATGGCTTAAGGGTAAAGAGTTTTGAGGACAGGAAAGATGGAGGGAATATTGGATAAGCACACAGGATTAAACCTAGAGGAACTCCCCTTGCTGCTAAGGCAGACTCTGTGTGCCAACTCTTCTTGCTAAGGTACATTTCTCACTTCTAGCATCTGTTTCCAGAGGTGAACCTGGAGTCTTGTGAGCCAGAATGTAGGGATAGTGACACTTAGGAATCACATTCCTCACATTTCATATATTCACTTTGTTTTCGGAGCTGGACCCAGTTCCAACTTAACAGCAGCTCCATCACCTGAATACTACTCTATTAATTGCCTAAGGGGGTGGTGATTCTTCCTTCCTTCATAGCAGGTTACCAAATCCCTGCAATAGGTAGCCACAGATCAGTAGCTGCTTGTACTTAGAGATTGGATCTATATGAGAATCCTTGGATATCACTTGGGACTAAGTAGGCCATTTCTCTGTGAGATAATGGTCCTAGAAAAGCAGAGAATTTGATGATCTACACAAAAGGATTTAATGCTATTTGGCCTTTGCAAAATCTTACTACTTAAACAGTATTAAGGAAGAAAATGTTAAAATAGGAGCAGTAGCTTTTATAGCATTCCTTAGCACCTTCATCTTCTTGATGGGATGGGATCTCAGAATGGAGTAAAGGATTTCTTTTTTTAATTTTTAAATTTTTTATTGTTATTATAAAAATGATATACATAGGTATTACAGTTCAGGTAAAGAGTACATTCCAGTTTGGACAATGTCACTTTGGTTAAAGGATTTCTAAGAGGACTTCATGATTTTGAGAGAAAATTATCTAGTGACACACCTCTCACTTCCTTAGGGCAAGATGGAAAATGCATGGCAAGTGTACTTCCATTTTCCTCTTTTGTGCCCCTAGCAGACATGACTCATAGATTACTTCATTATCTCTTGTTGAACCTATTCCTAGCCTGCATATTGTTCTCAAATGTGTTTGCTATGGATTCTTATCCAATTAACTAGAAATTATTTTAGGGGTGAAAGCTATCTGGCACTTGCTTTAGGGTGGTTAGAACCAATCTGCCCTGAATTGGGAGCAGATATGTTACAATACTTGGGAGTCATTGTTGTTTTCTGTTCACCAAGTCCAGAGATTGGAACTCCCTGGATGCTGGTTGATGGGTACATTGAATCCTATGCAGAGTTGTCCACTGAGACAGAAGAACCTAGACTGAGGTATTCTGGCTAGTTTTTGTGACAACTGTGTCCACATGAGGAAAGGGTGGCTTCTGCTTATATAAGGATGCAGAATAGACTAGCAATGCCATCAGCATCACAAGGAGGTTCTACACTGTCCTGTGCCGAGCAAATATCCAGCAGGGCCTGTGTTTGCTAGCCTAGCTCTTACAGTGTTTATAGAACAAAGGTACCTATGTGACCCTTTATATCTGCAACTCTCCCTTAATTCAGGAGTTTAAAACTCCTTTATCTAAAACCCTCCAAAGATGAAGTCTTTCTCTTGAAGGTCTCTATCAAGTACACTAGCAGTTCACACTTCAAAGCAATCAACTTTTAAGGAGGATCTAGCACTTTTTGATCTATTACTGCATTTCAAAAGCTAATCTTTCTTTCCAAACACAGCTTAATGCGTCTTATCTCCTCAAAATGGATGTTGTCTTTCACTAACATTTAAATTTTTAAAAATCCCATTTCCAATATGAATCAATTTCCTGTCCTCTGATCCCAGCAGCATGTGATTGATGGCCGTGGGTTTAATGCACCGTGTCCTCTGAATGTTGATTCTTGAAGGCAAATGGCTATCATAAATCAGTCCTCTAGGAAAAGATCATCTGTGGAATTGTTTACAAGAGCTTTGCCTTTTAAGAACAGATGATGTCTATATCACTTATTTAGGTCCAGACTGCTTGCTTTTATTGTTTACTTCATAATTTTTTTTTTGTGTGCCATCCAAGGAAACAAAAAGGCAGGGCAAATGCCACTGTCCTTAGGCCAGGAAAACTTATTTTGGAGGTATAAATCAATGCAGGTAAGCATCAATCAAACACTGATCCTGCCTCTAGAGTCTGGGTTTCAAACATCAATGATTATTGCACCTGGTACTTTAGGCTCTTTCATTCATTTTTACTTCATTCTCCAATAGTTCGGAAGCTTAACCATGCTTCCTTGGAGCAGCAAGTGTGAACTGCCTTTTGGAGCTAACAGTAATTACTTACTGTTGCACTCTGGGCAGCATCTTGGAGCTCGAAGGCCAAGTTGTCTTCTGGGTTTTTGTATTGTTTGCATATGTTTTAGAGAAGGTGAAGTGAGCTTGCCAGTAGATGGGAAAGATCTGGTCTCACCCTTATTCAGCAAGGTAGAGTGGATTTAGAACGAAATCATTTCTGATTCTAGATTTATTTAAAAACAGTTTATTGAGGGGGAGACACAATACTGGGGCTTGAACTAAGGGCCTAGATACTGTCTTTTAGTTTTTTTGTTCAAGGTGGTGCTCTACCACTTGAGCCACAAATTCACTTATAGCTTTTTGCTGGAAAAAGTGCACTTTCCTGACTGTCTGGCTTTGAACCTTGCTTCTCAGATCCTCACCTTTTTAAGTAGCTAGGATTATAGGTATGAACCACTGGTACCTGGCTTACCCTTCTATTTTTGTAAGAAAAATGATATTCCCATAGATTCTTTTCACACACATATACACTTGGAGTGTGTCATGCTTGTGACACAATGTATACTACACTGTTCTGAAATTATTCACAACTATTAACAATATATTCTAAATGTTGAAAACTGAAAAAAGTTGAATGAAGAAATATCTGATTTGTGTGTGTGTGTGTGTGTGTGTGTGTGTGTGTGTGTGTGTGTGTGTGTGTGTGTGTGTGTGTGTGTGTGTGTGTGTGTGTGTGCTGGTCCTGGGGCTTGAATTTGGTGTAGGTGCTGGCCCTGGGCTTCTTTTGCTCAAGGCTAGTGCTCTACCACTTGAGCCACAGCTCCATTTCCAGCTTTTTTAGTAGATTAGTGGAGATAAGAGTCTCACAGACTTTCCTGGTTGGGCTGGCCTCTAACCATGATCCTCAAATATCAGCCTCCTGAGTAGTTAGATTATAAGCATGAGCCACTGGCACCTGGCCTGATTTGTATTTTGGTGGTGTGAAGTGTCTTTCCAGATGAAAGAGAATCCCAGTGGGAAGCAGGAGGTTGTGGATGCTGCAGAGCTTCTCTGTGGAGGAATCTTAAAGGTTTCTAAGTCTTGATAATATTGTACATTTTTCAAAGAACCTTCCATGTTTCCTTTGAGTACTGTGTTTGGAGTTTCTTTAGTCAGAATGAAAGGTCTGTGTATTTCATTGAGATTATAAATTTGAGATCAATAAGCTGTTTCTCTTCTAAAATATGATAATGCCTACTTAAGACTGGGTAAACATTTTTAGGACATCTATAATGAAGACCAAGGATTGTGTTTCTCTTTTTATTTTTTTAGTTTATTTTTATTTATTTATTTAATTTTTTGGAGGTCTGGTCGTGGAGCCTGAACTCTGGGCCTGGGCGCTGTCCCTCAGCTCTTCAGCTTAAGGCTAGCTCTCTACCACTTGAGCCACAGCACCATTTCCGGCTTTTTTCTTTTTGCTTATGTGGTGCTGAGGAATCGAACCTAGGGCCTCATGCATACAAAGGCAAGTACTCTACCACTGAGCCACCTTCCCAGCCCTGTGTTTCTCTTTTTAAAAATTGAGTAGAGTTAGGCACTGGTGGCTCATGCTTGTAATCCTAACTACTCAGAGGCTGAGATCTGAGGATTGTCATTCAAAGTCAGCCCACGCAGGAAAGTCCTTGAGACTCTTATCTCCAATTAACTACCAAAAAACAAACAAACAAACAAAAAAAAAAACCCACAGCCAGAAGTAGAGCTGTGGTGCAAGTGGTAGAGTACCTTGAGCACAAAACCCAGTAACAGTGTCCAGGCCCTGAATTTAAGCCCTAGACTGGTACCAAAAAAAAAAAAATCAAATTCTTGATTATGTCTTCATGAGTGCCTTTTCTGACTTTTACACTTTTTGCAGAGGGAGTAAGGTGCATCTGCAACCAGCTTTCACTCACCACTAAGATGGATGCAGAGCACCCGGAACTCAGGGCGTATGCTCAGAGTCAAGGCTGGTGGACGGGAGAGGATGAGTTCAATTTTTCCCAGGTTTTTTCTCCAGCTGATGATCTTCCTGACTGCTGTGCAGGCAAAGATAGCTTAGAAAAACAAGAAGGTGAGTCTCTTCCTTATGATTTTCCTTCTTTTACCCTTTGTCTTGTGACTATTCTAGGGTACTCGTCTGGGTTTAGAAGGGTGAATAGACAAGTGGTGTAGACATTAGACCTTGTGTACAACTTGTACCAATAGTCTGTGATAGGCAGGCAGGCAGACAACTTGTATCTATTTTTGTATGATTCTTTCTCCTTCATGAAGGTTTCTTATTTCTACTGGTGTTATTTCTCCATTGGACATGAATGTCATTGTGTTGCTTTTATGATACTTACTGAAATCCTTCTTATATCTCAATATATATATATACATATACATATAGACTTATTATCTGCCTTATTATTATACTTTCCTCTTTCCCAGCTCCATTAGCCTGCTGAGTCTCGAAGGTAGAGATATCTCTTATTCATTTGAGGCTTCTCTTTTATAATGCTAGTAGAATCACTTGTGTAATGAACACCTTTGTTGAGTTGACTAGTTGTATTGAATTGTGTTCACAAACTTTCTGTCTGCTGCCCATCTACTGACTTAAGCAGAATCCATGTTTAGATTAATGTGTTGGATAGATATCTTATTATTGTTGTGCCTGAGTGGAAATCTTTCCAAAAACCAATGATGATCAACATTTTATATTTATTAATTGTGTAGGTATTTGGTAAGCCAACCCTGATCGTTTAAAATCGGTGTTAGCAAATGATGTCCAACAACAGCTACTTGTTTTGTAAGCAAAATTCTGTTAGTTTTTCATCACCATGTCAAAAATATATGAAAGAAACAATTTATAAGGCAGAAAAGTTCATTTTGGCATGTGGTTTCAGTCAATGGATGATTGGCTCTCTTGCATCGAGGAATGTGGCAACACAGTAGATCATGGTGGAGGGAACTGTTCTCACAGCCACCAAGAGGCAAATAGAGAGATAGCAAGAGGCCAAGGTCACCAAATTCCCTTCAAAAGCCCACCCTCAATAACCTACCTTCCACTAGGGCCAACTTCCTAAAGGTAATACCACCCGCTACCAACCATTCAACACATGGATGTTTGGAGGACATTAAATATCCAAACCGTGGAGCACACTCATTCATTTCTGTATAGTTTATGACTGCCTTTCTGCTGCCATGGTAGAATTGAGCAGAGGCAACAGGGACCTGGGAATGGAGACCAAAGTCTACATTGTTCTTGGAGTAACACAAAGAGATTATAAGCCCAACACATTTTCTTCTACTTGATTCTTTAAGAACAAGTTTCCTAATTCCTTCATCTAGCATGACATTCTGATTTTTATTGCTATAGAACTTAAGTAAATAAAAGTGAATAAAGTATTAATATTTAAATGTGAGCCTTAGAAAAACTTCAGTGTTTCAAATTGAAATAGATCTAGTTGATGAAAGTAATTAAATATTTATCATGAAACATCAACGCTAAATATGATAAAACCCTCTGTAGCTGTTAGTTCATGGGACAGAGGATGGAAGACTCGTTACAAAAGAATACTTAGTTGGCAGGGGAGATATCATCATCATGAAGGTGGTTTTCCCAGGGTGAGGCTTATCCATTGCACTCCGCATGTGCTGACCCCTGTGATTTCCCCAAATGTGGGAAACTCGACTGCAAAATTTGTGGTAGTGGGGGACTGCGTTCGTGCTCTCTCTTTAAAAAAAAAAGAAAAAGAAAACACTGGAAGATGCTACCTCTAAAATCTAGACTGGAAAACTGCACAGGAAAAAAACAATCCATAAGGTAAAAGTAACATTCAAGGAGAAAATATGGGCAGATATTAAAACATTTAAGAGATATTGACAACCTATTGGTAATAGGTTCTGATTCAGATCACTATAGTAATTTAAGAGTAAGTAAGGAAATTTGAACAGTCCATAGTTGAAGAAATCCAAGACACTTGATAGTTCAGATGTGAAATGATGTAAAAGAGATTTGCAAAGATGATGTTCATTGTGTTAACAAATCCCTCACTGTAGAAACATGTTAAGGAGTGATTTTGTGGCTGTTTGTGTGTTTCTGATAATACTGGGGCTTGAATTTGTGCTTACCTAGACAGATGCTACAGTACGTGAGTTACTCTACCAGCTCCCTTTTAAATTGATTATTCTTTTTGTTTTTTGTTTTTGTCGGTCATGGGGCCTGAACTCTAGGCTTGGGTGCCATCGCTCAGCTCTTCAGCTCAAGGCTAGCACTCTACCACTTGAGCTACAGTGCCACTTCGGCTTTTTCTGCGTGAGCCAGGGCCTCACGCATAAAAGGCAAGCACTCTACCACTGAGCCATCTTTCCAGCTCCTTAAATTGATTATTCTTGAGATAGTTTCCCACTTTATGCCCCAGCTGAGTTGGGCTGAGATCCTATTGTGTTTCCCTGTATTGCTGGGAATGGCAGTTTCAAGCCTCTGAGCCCAGAGGTTGGTTGAGATGAAGTCTTGTGGACTTTTTTATTTCTAGGATGGCCTAGAACATTGATCTCCAAGCTCTGCCTTCCAAGTAGCTAAGATTACAGTATTACTGTACCCAGCACGTTTGTTTTTTGATTTTCCTATGTAGCCCAGGCTAACCTTGAGCTTGAAGTTCTCCAGACTGAGCCTCCATTGGGTGGCGATTGCAGTCAGCAACTACACTTGGCCGAGTAATTTAAAGAATAATAGCCAGTGGAGAACATGAATAGGATCCTGTGTAGTAAAATGATTGTTTATCTATTCATCTGAACTCAGCCAATAGGTCCAAAGGCACAGAATATACTGAAGGACTCTTTCTTTCTAAATGTGTGTGTGTGTGTGTGTGTGTGTGTGTGTGTGTGTGTATTTTACTACAGAGAAGTTATTCTACTAATATTATATTCAGGGAACAATAGTGTATGAGAGAGAGAAAGTACATGCTGTAGATTGCACTTGCTTTTTTAAAATGAATGTTCTATTGTTACTGCCTTAGTAGAGTATAGTTAAATCTTGTAGCAAAGACCTCAAATTAATATGGCTTTAAAAATGGAAGTTATTCCATTCTCATGTTATTGTGTGCAGGTATCTGGACAGTTTGGGACTGGGTTTACTCTGCCTCAACCCAGGGCCTGCATTTGTGGTCCACTTGTTGGTGTCTTCCAGACAACTGGAAGGGAGAAAAGTGAAGGAAAAGAATGTGGATGTGACCACAAAGTCACATATACCATTTCTGCTTACCTCTCATTGGTTAAACTTTATCACATGGCCTTAGTGACAAGGGAGGCTGGGAAATACATCCTGTAGTGAGTAATTATATTCCCAGTTATCATTTCATGGGGAGTTATCAGTAAAAAGAGAAACAAGAGAATGGGTTTTGGTTAGCAGCCTGCCACCATTAGTATCTTTTCTCTTCCCATCTCTTCTTTTTCTTTTATTTTCTCAGAAATCATCACTGCGCAGACGATGATTAACATCTTACGAGACAAAGCCAGTGGAATCTGCATAGATTCTGACTCTTTCCTCACCACGGCCAGTATAGTATCTGTCCTGCCACAGAGAAAAAGCTCGCCATGCATTCACTACTTCACTGGGACCCCAGATCCTTCCAGGTTTGTTTAAGACAAGGTTGTGAAGGTAAAAAAAAAGAAAAGTGCACTACCCTTGATATCTCATTTTTAGCAAGTATATGTTAAGTTCCTGGCTGGGAACTCCCTTTGGACAGCAAGGTCACATTTTTCAGTGGGTCACAACAAGGCAATGAAGCACAAGCAGCTTTGCCTAGGTGAGGTGCTTAACTGTAGTTACATCGTATTTATCATAGTCATGGAATCTAACGGCTTTAAATTCATCACATGGCTGTTAGGTATATGTAATGAATGTATCCACAGTGTAATATAGCTGTGGATACAAAAGTGAAAAAAAAAACGAGGTGAGAAAGAGGGATAAAAGAACTCCCAAGATTTACCAGAATACCAATTCCTATGAGTTAATGAATAAAACAATCTAGCAAGTGTACTGCCACTTCCTTAAGGCATTGTATTTTAGGGAGTTGCTTTCTTCCCACATGCTTCAACAAAGAAGCAATATTGTGCAGATTGAGAATCCAAGCTCTAGTCAGATGCCAGTGGCTCATGCCTATAATCCTACTTAGAAGGCTGAGATATGAGGATTGTGGTTCAAAGCTAGCTTGGGCAGGAAAGTTCATGGGACTTATCTCCAATTAATTACCAAAAAACCAGAGGTGGAGATGTGGCTCAAGTAGTGAGTGCTAACCTTGAGTTTAAAGGCTCAGGGACAGTGCCTATGCCCCAAATTCAAGCAACAGTACCAGGGAAAAAAAAATCTCTAGAATGAACAGCCAGGATTCTGAATCTTAACTCTGCTATCCAGTAGCTGAATAAGTTACTAAACTTCTGTAAGCTTCAGCTTCTGTAACTGTGCAGTGGGCATAACACCTGCACCTACATCTATATGCTTGTTGGGAGGATCAAATGATATGAATACATTATTTATGAATAATGATGTCATAATGAATACCAATTATTTATGAAGGCCAGCTCTGATCTGCCAGCCAGATAGCATCCCCTCTCCCTAGCAACATCTACAGGTCACATCATCAGTAACTTAGAAATGATCATCCAGTGGTTTCTAAATATGGAGGGGGAAATTTTTGAAAAATACAGATACCTTGACCCAAACGTAATGTATCAGAATCTTCAAAGTGGACCTCATAATCTTTCAGGTAAGTCTATCTGATCCTCAGCATGAATAGCCCCAGAAGAAACTCTGTTCTAGTAGGTTCTTTGGTGGTTTTTAGGTATTTCTAATATCTGAAAACTTGACATTGTTGGAATATCAGCTGTTAACCCTTTGAATCTACTATCAAAGCATCTATTGTTATTAAATTTCATTCCTTTAGTGATCAAACATCTTCTTTTACAGTTTCAAGAATATAAGCCTGATTGTGTCTAGTTAGGGGACTCTCCCCCTTCTCCCTCCCTCTCTCTCTCTCTTTCTCTTTCTCTCTCCCTTTCCTCCTCTCTCTCTCTCCCTTCCTTTCCATCCTTCTTTCCTTCTTTCTTCCTTTCCCTTTCATGACTGGTGCTCTACCATGAGAACCACATAACTCCTCCTCCAACTTTTTGTTGGTTAATTGGAGATAATTAATGGGAGATAATTAATTTGTCTGCCTGAGAGGGCTTCAATTCATGATCCTCAGATCTCAGCCTCTTGAGTGGCTGTGACTTTTTATAGCCTGTGACTTTTTCTGTTTTTGTTTTTTTTTTGTCGGTTGTGGGGCCTGGACACTGTCCCTCAGCTCTTCAGCTCAAGGCTAGCACTCTACCACTTGAGCCACAGCATCACTTCTGGCTTTTTCTGCTTATGCAGTGCTAAGGACTTGAACCCAGGGCTTCATGCATGCAAGGCAAGCACTCTACCACTGAGCCACTTTCCCAGCCCAACCTTTTCTGTGTTTAGGGACTTTTTTTTTTAAATTCTGGGCCTGGGATTGAACTCAGGTTCTGAGTGCTGTACATTTTTTGTGCTCAAGGCTAGCACTCTATCCCTGGAGCTACTTCTGGCCTTTTGTATGTAAGTAGAGATAAGAATCATTTGGAATTTCTGGCTGTGGCTGGCTTTGAATCATGATCTTCAGATCTTAGCCACCTTGAGTTGTTAGGATTATTAAGTATGAGCCATGGGCACCCAGCTGTTTTTTAAATTTTTTAAAAAGTATATTTTATTATTCTTTAGTAATTGTACAAAGGAGTTACCATTCAACAAATCAGTTTATAAGTATAATGCATCTTAGTCAAGAACAAATCCATACACTTCACCCTCATTTTTTAAATACTGCTGAAATCGATATATCCTTCTAATAAGATCTGAATATTGAACACATGGTAAAAACTATTCTTACATTTTTTATTTCATGTAAACACTAAGTAATTGCTGCATACCAGTATCATGCTAGTTGAGTATTAGACGTGAGATGTGTACAAGAGGTTGTAGATAAGGTGATAGATTGGAAAACTTTACAAAGGAAGGGTCTCCAAGCCCTAGGCATTATGGGAAGAGTGGGAACTTGTTAGGTACAAAAATGCAGAATTAATATTCTGGACAGAAGAATGACATGTGTCAGTAATGCTCAGAGGCATGAAGTAGCATGGCACAAGGTTATTACAGGTGTGCATCCTCTAATTGGTAAGGCTGGTAATGAGATTCTGGTCTCACTTCCTTCCCTCATCTTTCTACTCTCCTGCAGTCCCTCTGCTAACCCTTCACAGTGAGCCTGAGTCAAGCATCAGTTTTCCTGGCAGCCTCTCTCGATGCTCTTACGTGTTGACTTCACCTGCTTCTTCTTGGTATCGACACTCCAGTTCCAAACCCTGGGTTCCATGGTTGTAACTTCCACTCATGTTTTGCTCTACCAGATTTGAGGCTCCTCCTCCCCTTGGTATCCTGGCCTCTCCCTTGATGAGCCTAGCTTGTTCCCCTAGTCTGATGTCTTGGTAGGATTGTATGAGGATTCTGCTGACCTACAGGGGTACAGAGGGGCTTTGAGAATTCTGTTTTGAGGCATCTGTAATGGTCTGCTAAGGGATTTGGACATGGCTCTTTATGAAACCTTTCAAGGAGTAGAGTGAGCCAAATCTCCTTTGACTCTGTGGTCTCCAGTACCTGCTCCAGTTAGAATAAAGGCTTCATAATACCAGGTCACTCATCTAAAAGAATTTTGTATCCCAGGCTGAAGAACAGGGCTTAATTCAATTTTATAAATGTGTTAAAAAGTAGTCTTCTGATATGTAAACTTGAAAATTTCAAGTGATTTTAAAAGAAAATTATTCATGGTTAAAATAATTGAAAAGACCTTGTAGAAGATTAAGTCCCTTCTGGAAGACATTCATCTTTATCTTCCATGATTAAATGGGCTTCTCTCCCACTGTGACTATAAAGCTGTCACAGGTTATTTTTCTTCCTATTCAACATTTCAGTGTTTCTCTGTAATTGGGCATGTTCAACATTTTTTATTTCATCAGTAGGAAGCATAATTACTAGCTCTTAGGAGACTTTTTTAGGTAGTGAAATTAAGATCTTAGCTTGTTTCTGCTAGTGCTAAAAAATTAGGTGGTTTTCCTATTAGGAGAATAGTTTCAGAGCACTTCCAACCATTTTCAGCTTTTGTTATGAGCAAAAGGTAGGACTGATTTGCCCCTTCCAGTTGATATTATGACCAAAGGACTTCACCATACTTACATCCTATCTCCTTCACCACATCACTGTCCTGTGTACGCAGACACATTACTTACAGATCTTCTTCTTGAAATGGCTTACTCCCACATCCACACCTTCCTTTTTCTCTGTTGTTTCTCCCTCTCTCCTATTATGTACCAGGTACCATGTAAGCTTGAGAGTTGGGAGAAGCTGCAAACTACAGAGTTTGAATGACTGAGGGTAAAGCAAAAGTCTTTTAAACTGATCAAAGAGGCATATTCCATCATACTAGTATCATGCTGAGTCTCGTTGATACCTCAGTCCTTGGTATAATGACACTAGTCACCTTCAGTAAACTGGTTCTAATCTTGGGAAAACATTTTCTGGGAATCAGTACTTATGAAAGCTTTGCTTATGTGAAGAATGGGTAAATGAGAGAATATCTGGGTGGTACCTTAGTGTTTTGAGACAGTATAAAATGTAGATTTTTAGGGATTGGTGGAACCAAAGAGAACTTTGTGTCTTCCTCTGCCCAGCTCCATGGAGTGTGATGTTATTGTTGTTTTCAAATGGGCCACATAGGGTCTTTACACCACAACAACTGACAAGCATCATAAACCTGGGTGAGTTTTTTTTTTCTCAGAGTGATAATTATTAGACCAGCACAGCCCTGAGAGGCCCTCACATATATGAAACTACGAATATTCAAGATACAGGGTAGATCAACCAAAAGGGGGAAATTAAGTATACAAAGTTTTAGGAAAATGGGGTTATGATTAGTGGCAGCGTGTTCAAGAGAGACAAGGGACTTTATTTCTCTCTTTGTTCCTTCCCTCCCTCTCTCCCTGTCCTCCTTCTTACCTTTCCCTCCCTTTGGAATTTTGTCTTCCTTTTCTTCTTCCAGTGTACTAGACTTGGGAGATTAAATTGGATTGCCCAAGACTATACAATCTGGATAATTCCAATGATCTCCACAGATGACACCTGCTTTTCCCTGGAAGAAGCATGGGGGAGGGCACTGTTCAACATAACTTTTACAGCCTTTGGGGCTATCTAGGGTGCAGTCTGCACATTTGTAAGTACAATGCGAGGCCTGGGAATTAGGACACCTTCTCCTTGAGTTTCATTCCACGTTTTTCTAATACAGTCTCTCTCCATACTCCACTTTGGGATTTCAAAAGCCTCCCGAACACCTAGATTTAGCCCTAACACCTCAGGTTGTTCTATGCTCCGAAAGTACTGGTTTTCTTTCTTCCTAAGGTTCCAACTGTTTTCACAGAAGAGTTTTGTTCTCAACCTCATGTGACTTTTGACAGGGCGGTTAAGGTGACATTGCCCTAGTAAATCTGGAATGATCCACAGATGAACCCCTTAGAAGGTCATCTCAGGTCGGGGTGGATGTGGAGAACCCATGTCCCACAGATCTCCTCTCCAGCTCTAGCTCAGCTCTGTCTTGGAGAGAGCCATGCTGTCACTGGTCCTATCCAGTGCAGAGCTGTAGAGCTGAGAATGTATAGATTGAGCAGGCCCAAGTCTGCAGGGCTTGGCCTTCCTGATCCCTGTCCCACCGAAGAGTCCCTGTACCAGCCAAGGAGCCTACAATGCCATTGTCTGATGACAGTGGCAGGTTGGATCCTAACCTTTCGGGAATCCCTCAGTGCTGTCTAGCCCCTCAGACTAGGGTGTTTGCTATTGGAAATATGGCTATATTATCAGAGAGCAGAAGGACTCAGAGACAGGTGGTATGGATGCAATCTCTCTGCTAGACACAGGATGCACCTTTCTTCCTTTCTCTATTTCCTTTTCTCGCGTATCTAGTTTCTCTTCCTTTCCCTTCCCAGCTAATCTAAATCAGCTTAGACATTTTGAAGTAGAAGGGAAAAAGAAGAATTTGTTTCTCAGAGGCTGTGGGAAGTGAGAAGTATGTGTTCTTCCTTAGGTCTTGGGGAAACCTTCCTTTGATGATGGCTAGCAGAGAAAAGGGGCATGGGATGGCCCAACCTGGCACACCTTGTACTCCATATGTAAGAGATCTCTATCTATCTATGCCTATGCATATATGTAATCTCTAGAAAACAGTAGAGTCTTTATGCTTCTATATTCTACCAGTGTAGGGATCTCACTACCTTTGACATTCAGGTCATATTAGTGTGGGCCTCAGCTTAGCATGCTATGGCCAATGTCTTTTTTCTTTCAAGACCTCTTTCCCATAGTGGAGTCAGATAATTAATCTACGTGTTACTTCTTATTAGCACCGTCCATGACAGTGCTCCTCGGATGTGGATGGTACGATTGCCTGGGGTCTTGTTAAAAAATGCAACTCTGATTCATCAGGATGGAGCAGGGCCCGATGTCCCCAGGGATGCTGATGTTGCAAGTCCAATGACACAGCTGGGTTGCTAGGGTGACTGCTTTCTAATCCTTTTAAGATCTTGGAAATAGTTCTGTGACACGTTGGCAATGAAGCCCTGGCTGCCTGAAGCTCCACCTACCTCAGGGATGAGAGGGAAGCATCCCAGCTCACCTTTCACCTCCCTGAGGCTCCTTGGAATGTGCCATGCTGTACCCATTAAGCAAAGAAAGAAATGTCCAAATAGAACAAAGGGATGACCACACCAAGCATGTGAGGGTCTTCCGCTCTCGTCATTATTGCGGGCGCTGCCTGAGGTATGGCTGATAGCAGGTGTGCCTGCCGGAGTGCCTTTCCTGCACCACCAGTACTGTCTCTGGGTACAGAGAGGGGGGGATCAGCTTCTCTCCCCAGTGGGCACACCCCACTCACTCTATATGCATGACTCTTGTTTGGGGGAAGCGGTTGGTCCTGGGGCTTGTACTCAGGGCCTGGGCACTGTCTCTGAGCTTCTTTTGCTCAAGGCTAGTGCTCTACCTCTTGTGCCACAGCTCCGCTTCCAGATTCTTTTTTCTTTTGGTAACTTATTGGACATTAGAGTCTCATGGACTTTCCTGCCCAGGCTGCAATCCTCAGATCTCAGCCTTCTGAGTAGCTGGGATTAGAGGCATGAGCCACTGGCACCTGGCTGCATGACTCTTTTGGAGTGTGTGTGTGTGTGTGTGTGCGTGCTTACCCAAGTACATGCATGCATATAAGCCTGCATACACCATTTCCCCTAGGGCATATCCATCCTGCCAGCAGAATTGAGTCAATGAGTTTGGGACTTCCATCCCCTGCTGTGAGCAGCACTAGCTTACTTATAGAACCAGACTCTGTTTCTCACACTTGTCCATTTTGGGGCTTCTGGGATCCTTTGCTGCCATGCATCTTAATCTGCTCTCCTTGAGTCCATGCAAGAGATCACAATTTTTTCAATAATGTAGTACTTCAGAAGCAAAACCACAAAATCCTCCCTTTCCAGAAATGGTGTGTGAAAACCATTTAAAACCCAGATAGCTATAGTTGATGGCAATGCTTTAAAGATTCTTGTCCCAGAATACTGCATATTTAATTGCCTTACTTTATACAACTAAAAGGATCCTCTCCTGTGGTAGTCCCAGAACAGAGAAAATCTGTTTTGCTGTCTCCTTGTAAGTAGAACATGTTTCAGCTTGTACATGGATGATAGCTACCAAAACAAGTAGTTGTATCTCTCTTGGCTCGTCTCTTGGCTACTCACTGCTAACTCTTAAGTTGGCTCAGGAAGTGTGTGTGCCGAATAAAAGGACAATTGCTTGCGTGTTCTTAGTCTCAAGCTCTATCTGGCTGAAGCAACTGTCCTTTCTTTCCAGGTCCATTTTCAAGCCTTTCATCTTTGTTGATGATGTGAAACTTGTTCCCAAAGCACAGTCTCCCTGTTTTGGGGACGATGATCCTGCCAAAAAGGAGCCTCGGTTCCAGGAGAAACCAGATCGCCGGCATGAGCTGTATAAGGCCCATGAATGGGCACGTGCTGTCATCGAAAGTGACCAGGTGAGTCTGGGTGGGGGCCAGGGAAGGGACTAAGTCAGCAAGAAAGGAACATGGAAGCAGCTATCAAATTCCTTCCTCTCTGACCACACCAGTCTCCCAGAAAGTCAGATTTCAAGACCTTTTCTAGAATGCTGCTGTTCCTACTCAGTATCTTGAAACCAAATAAAACAAAGTCTCCAAAAGACTAAAAATGTCAGTCAGTGGTTCTTATCTTGGTATCTTGGGAGAATGAGAATGTACAGGCAGAAAGGGATATATATCTGTATATATATACACAAACATATATATTTGGCTGGTCCTGGGACTTGAATTCAAAGCCTAGATGTTGTCCCAGAGCTTCTTTTGCTCAAGGCTGTGCTCTAGTATTTCAGCTACAGCTCTAATTCTGGTGTTTTGGTGGTTAATTGGAGAAAAGGATATCACAAACTTACTTGTCTGGGCTGGCTGTCCGTGCCTGGCAGAGGTTGGAAGTTTGGAGCTTTAGAAATGAATGACTGGGGGGCGGGGGCGGGGGGGGGGAGTGTAGTTGTGGATGTGGGAGGGAAGAGAGGGTAGGGGAAAAACAAAGGAGGAGGCAACAATGCTTGATAAGAAATGTACTTTCATTACCTTGCTCATGTAATTGTAACCCCTATGTACAGTATTTTCACAATAAAAAAACTTATTAAAAAAAGAAATGACTCTTCCTTTGAGTGAAGGAGCAGTAGGAAGTGGTTGACAGATGGGAGAGCATCTTCTTAGTTCTGGGCCAAATTGGGCAAATGAAAGCTTTTGCTGTGGTGTACCATACATGAGTGAGTCCCACTTGGAAGATGAAGTCTTTCCATCTCAGAAAGAGTGACTTAAAAATAGACATGGCATAGTTCATTCAGCGAGCTATTTATTCCTTCAATAAATGCCTTTTGAGAATGTTCACAGTGTCCTAGTCATCGGAAGGCAGCAGTGGACCCAGTTCTTGCTTTCTAGATTCTATGATCTAGTGAGGAACGCAGCCGTATAGGACAGCTGTCACCTGATGGAGCCTGGTGACCCTATCGGGGGCAAAGGCATTGAACCACGGAGGCCTGAGGAAAGGTCTGCCAGCAAGGAATGAAGGTAGACACAAGCTGACCCAACACTGAGACAGGGAAGGGCCTTCCAAAGGGCAGAGTCACCTGTGTCGCAACAGGCTGGAGGAATACAGTTCACTCATGGCTGGAGAGGAGGGATAGGCCTGGCAGGAGGTCAGCTAAGAAAGACCTTGGTGTTATCAAAGCCTTCACCGAGTGCACTCAGTGCATTCAGGAGTCTGAATTTTTTTCCTTGAACAACGGGGAACTGTGTAAGTGTTCTGAGCAGGCCAGTTCTAGAACCGTGTTGGTGGCAGCTGTGTGGGCAGTGGTCAGGTCTGTGTGCAGGAAATCAGCTGGATTCCCAGCGCTGTCAGTATCTTCTACTGCAACCTCTATGGCTTTGCTCACATGTGAAGCTGCTATGTCTTTCTTTAGGAGCAGGGCCGCACACTGAGGAAGACCATGCTGGAGTTGGAAAAGCAAGGTCTGGAAGCCATGGAAGAAATCCTGAGCAGCCCCGACCCTCCAGACTCTGCTGAGATGGGGGACCTTTTCTATGACTGTGTTGACACGGAGATTAAGTTCTTTAAGTGAAGTAAGCAGCTCTTCTCTCTTCTTATTTAACATGCCCCATTTGACTAAATGACCAGCAAAACAAATCACTCTTCTGTGTGAGCAAAATGAGAAAAAGATGTGGCCTCTTGTTCTGAAGCCAGATCAAGCTGATCCCGTGTGTCTCCAAACATCCTCTTCTCTGCTGCATATTTGTCCCCTTCCTTTGCTAAGTAACATGTATCTCCATCGCCTGTCATTCTGTGGCATGATGAATTATGGGTTTGAAGTTGCTCTTCTTGTATTTCAGTCACAGTGGGCGCATTAGCCTCTTTCAAGGAGGCTAGAGTTCATCGAACCTGGAAAGACGTGCTTTGCAAGGCCGAGTCTGTAAGGAAAGTAAGACCTTTTGAAAGTTTAGTCTTTTTCTTGGTACTTGTTTCTTCTAGTACAAAAGGTATTTGTTTGCATAAGGGGCTCTGTGTGTGTGTCAGGGAGAGTTCCCAGTTTCCCTTTGCTGGAGCAGGGGCCTGTATATAGAGGATGGTGTCTACAGGTATGTCCTGGGGAACAATGCCTTTGGGAGGGAACAAAGTGGGTCCTTCTGCAGTTCTGGCTCTATCCCAATGCTGAAACCCCGAAGGACTTGTCTTCACCAGCTGTGTCCATGTGCACTGGACCCCAACCTGGCTCCACATGCACAAGAGCTGGTATTAGCTGGAAACGACTCATCTTCACAGTCTCCCAAATCACCATGTTTTACCCCCAAAGGGCAACTGATTTCCCTACACAGCACAGAGCTGCTGCCTGGATGCAGCCTTGTTTAGAAGTGATTCCAGATCGATTTGTGGCATAGTTCCACCCTCCACAGCTGTCACTTGCAGCTAGCAAGGGAAACAAACAAACAAAAACCCCCCTTACATACTTAGGTCTCTATTCGAGTAGCTAGAATCTTAGTGGTCTCTACTTTTCCAACATTATCATTCACCATCACTACTCTGACTCACCCTGAGAGCATAGGAAAGCAAGCAAGGAAGACCAAGTGTGCTTAGCCCTGGGAAGACAGAGGGCAAGCAGGCGACAGATGGTTGAAGGAGCGTTTCTCAGCAGGATGATAGCTCAGCCTCAGGCCTTCTGCTCTTGTTTTGCATTCCACACATTGGTGTGTAAAACAGCTGATTTTCTTGGCCTCCCCCATAATATCCTCATATCCCACCTTGCCCAGCTTGCGCCTGCAGACAGCTGCAATCAGGTGACTGAAGCGGCTGGAGGGAGAGTTGGGTGTTTACCTCCATCTGTTGAAACGCTAGGTCACTTTTAAGCTGGCAAGAGACAGGCAAAAAATGACCAATAGAAATTTATGAGCACCTAGCGGAAGCCTGCCATTGAGCCTAATTATGCTCATCCATGGCAGGAAACTGCACATGGAAACACTTTATTAGTAATCTCCAAAAGGACCCAGGGTGAGTGACTGTCTAACCTAAAAGATAGCAGCAGTGCAGGTAGCAACAACCCAGCCTCAGACAGGAACATTGAAGATCAAGGGTTTTACCTGAATATCTTCTTTTTAATTTTTTTTTTCCTACCAACCCTATTTGAAGAGTGATTGTAAGGGGGTGTATAGACCTGAGCTTTTTGCTCAGTAGTTTTGTAACCATAAACAGTGAGAAATGGGGACAATACTTCAGCTGTAAGTTCATTGCTATTCAAAGTGATGGCTAATTATTGCTGAGTGCTTTCGACAGATTTCCCTGGGCTTTCTCTGCTGTTGAATTGAGGGTTTCAGGTGCAAGCGGCCATGCTGACTATCTACAGTAGTAGCTAAGGTTGGATGACTGAGGTTTAAGGAGGATGTAGGAGACCCTGTTTCCTCCTAAGCCCGTCTGCTGAGCTATTTTAAACAACTCAATACAGAACACCATTGTGAGATCCCACTGTGTGGTCCAACCTCCACCTGTTTGGGAAACATTTCATACATAACATATCCAGATAGCTAAGGAGAATCAGCGTTTGCTTAGAAGTCTAGTGAGAATAAATTACAGAAGTCTTCTTTCGTCACTGTGGCAAAGGTGACAGATACAGTTCCAACTGCCTAGTTGTATGGTAGGAAACACAATTACTACTTCTGATGCTGGACATTGACCTTAGTCAAGCCTGGCAGAGAAAGGTCAATCTTGAGAGTTGTCTTGGCTGACACTGTACATCATAACTGTGCTGTCTCAGCATGAACACTAGAGGGCAGAGTGGCCCTCCATGACAGCCTAGCATGATTTCTGAGCCCGATTTCTCCCATTAGGAAATATAAGTGGCTTGCATACCGTCAAGCCTCAGATAACGGCAGTGGACAAGTTCTTTGTGCACTGGAATAAGCAGAGAAAGGCAAGAAGAGGGCTAGGAATCTGCTAATGTGGTTGTGTGAGTTTACAATGACTTTATCCACTTAAGAACTGGAACTATGCTAGATTTCAAATAGACAGTTGTAGGAAGTATGGCTTTTGAAATGCTCCCTACAGATTATGTTTTGAAGAAATCTTATCACTTGGATGATTTCTTGACCAAGGATTACTTTTCTGAAGGCAATGTGAGGAAAATAAAGTTCAGGGTTAAATACAAAAATAATGTTCAAAAGTCATTATGTGTAAATAGCTTTCTAGAATACCATTTGTGTGTTTATTAAGATGGGGGTAGGGGTGCCTGTGCATGCTTTGTGCAGAAAGAAGCCATGGACATAAGAGACAGAACGCCCCCACCTCCCTCCCCTTAAAACCTAACCTTAGTCCGTCTAGTAGATGGGATTTACTATAGAGGAAAACAGACTTTATGTTCAAGGGCGGATGCTCTACTTACAATAAATTAGCAAAACAGAAATAGTCATGTTTAGATAGAATAAGAATATGATAAAAAAAATTATGGAGATTCCTTAGTGCCCAACCATGTAAGACCCAGTGCTATTATTAGGAGTCTACTTTACAAACTAACAGGGCAGGTATGTGACTATTAGATCTTAGCAGTAAAGACCCTTTACTGATGGGTGAGTCATTAAGTATGAAAAGTAATTGTCAACCAAGCAAATTACTTTTGGTCCTAATCAATGCCATCCCACACCAGTACATAACTTGGCTAACAAGGTAGGGCCAATTTGTCTATCATCAAACTACTCACTGAATTCTTGACTGGAGAGCCAGCCATGTTTTGTTGGAAGAATCTTCACCTGTGCTCTCTAGCTTTAGGAGAAGGCACAGGGAGTAGAAAGCGAGTAGACCCACTCTGCTGGACATGCTCCAATGGAAGAGAAGGAGCAGTAGGTCAGCTGTCCTACATTACCTTATGCTTCCTGTAGGTGTGGGATTTCATTCCACACAGTCATACCTTCCTGATCCCCTTCTGTGATGTGTGGCAAATGTGCTTTATCTAATTGACACCGACCACCCTGAAATGTCATATGCAGAATTTTCATGGGAACACATATGCATATATATATCTATATATGTATATGCAATCATGTTGTGAGAATTTAAATGTGTTAGCTGGAAAATGTTATTGGCAGGGAATAATATAAAAGAAAATTGTTCTGTTTCCAGTCTGTAGTCTTTAACAATCTTTTGTACAAATATCTACAAACCAGATAGCTTCCCTGTCTTAACGCTTGCCCTTGGGATTGTATCTAAATGCATCAAACATACAATAAAGATAACTGAAATGAATGTCTATTGTCCTTTTCCACTGTGTGTTTCATGAGTGCAATCAGGCATCAACCACAACACAGGAGATGCACACAGGAATGTGTCTTGTTCACTGAAATCTTCAGAAATCTCAAACAGTTCAACAGTCTTCTGCATTATGTACCCATTTTTGGATAAACTCACTCTTTAAAACTAAACTCAAAAACTACGATAATCAACTCAGACCCATTGGGATATTCATTCTAAAACAACAATACAAAATGAAAAAAAAAAACAAAAAAAAAACCCTCAAATCACAAACTAGCCATTAAGTGCTAGCTTAACTGGAGACCAGGAAAACCTGGAACCCTTGTGCATTGTTGGTGAGAAGTAAAGTAGTATATCCACTGTTTACTAATCCTATGGAGGGTGTGAAAAAAATTACACATGGAACTACATACGATCCAACCATTACATGTCTAGGAATATACACAAATTAGTTGAAAAATAGCTGGATACGGATGCACTCAGACCTCCTGGAATGTCCCATTTTCTCATTATTAGGATTTAGATATGAAGTATCTCCTAAAAGGATGATGTGTGGCTCTTGTGCATCTAGACATTGAGAGGTGCTTGGGTCATGAGGGTTCGGATCTGACCAATAGGCTCATCTGCTGTTTGATTCATTATTGAATGGACTATTGGGAGGCAAAGGAGAGTGTGGAGGGCAGAGGCTGAGTAGAGGAAGTGCGTTGCTGAGGGTCATGTCTTTCATGGGCTAGATCTGGTCCCTAGTTCGTTTCTTTTGGCTTCTGGATGCTTCAGTCAAGCAGCTCTGTTCCACCACACCCTCTCTTCATGTTGTTGTGTCTCATCTCAGGCCACAAACAATGGAGCCGGCCAAGCATAGATAGAAACCTCTGAAACTATGAACCAAAAGAAAGTCTTTTCTTAAGTTGTCTTCACAGGTCTTTTGTTACAATGACAAAAAAAAGATTAGCCTATTCCTGGAGTCTACAGCTCTTTCCATGAAGCTATATTCCCCTCATCCTTGGGTGTGTGTGGGGGGGGATGGGGTTGTCTCTCCTCAGCTCAACTCCCTAAAAGGTGCCTCTTTCACTATCTGCCAATGTCAGCGACTTTGATTTTTATATCTTTGATTTTAGTAGACTGTCTTGAATCCTTGCTTTTCTTTCCTATTCACACTGGCCTTTTTGGTCCTTCAATAGCCGATCTGTGCCTCCATAAATGTGGGAAAAGCCAGTCATTCCCTTAACTCATTCACACACAAAGAAGTTACCTTTAAAATGAGTTTCTAGATGACGTTTGTTTTTGGAACATCGATAAACCTTCATTGCTGCGCTGACTTTGCTATTAGTTGCAGAGCGAGTGAATGTGGCCAGCACAGCTCAGCAAACATCTAAATGGAACACGTTTGTGACTTAGCATGAAACATACAAACTGGTTGTTCCTCAGTGTGTAGTATGCCTGTGTATCTGCACCGTGATAAGCCAGGTGCACATTCTTTTTTTTTTTTTTGGTGAAAATACCATACAGAGGGGTTACAGTTACATGGGAAGGTGCACATTCTTGTTACCATTTGATAGGCGAGGAAACTGCGGCACAGACTAATTTTTATTTCCAAACTTATAAGAGACAAAGCAGAGATTCAGATCTTTCCAAGTTCTAGTTCTAAGTCAGCTTAAACAGTGGATGAACTTCATCTCCTCTGTATTAGGCTACAGTGTCCACTTAAAACATTATGATGAGGCCCTGAGAACTTACATACAAACTAAATAACTAACCATCTCCCCTCCCCCCCCCCGTGTGTGTGTGTGTGTGTGTGTGTGTGTGTGTGTGTGTGTGTGTGTGTGTTCTGTTTTTACTTCACAAAGGAGGCTTTTTTGAGGAATTTGCTGCATTATGGAGTGGAAATGTGCACTGTAGGTTGAAAGTTGTTCAGTTTAAACACAACTAAGCAGAATTTATAAGCAATATACTGCCCATACTATAGTTATAAAGCTAATAAATAGCTGTCTACTTTCAAAGATGTAGTTGAAAAAGTTTTCTGTTCCTTTGCTTGGCTTTTCCCAACACTCTTTTTTTTTTTTTGGTTGGTCATGGGGCTTGAACTCTGGGCCTGAGCGCTGTCCCTCAGCTCTTCAGCTCAAGGCGAGCGCTCTACCACTTGAGCTACAGCGCCACTTCCGGTTTTCTGGTCGTTTATTGGAGATAAGAGTCTCAAGGTCTCTCCTGCCCGGGCTGGCTTTGAACCGCGATCCTCAGATCTCAGCCTCCTGAGTAGCTAGGATTACAGGCGTGAGCCACCAGCGCCCGGCTTTCCCAACACTCTTAAGTTAGTCAGCTCAAAAGAGTAAGGTCCTATTTCTAAAACAAGCATTTTCTTTTGCTTTGGCATTCCTAGAAGTCCTCCTAATCTTTATTACACACCTTTGATCATTATACAGTATACACATATACCACAACATCATACCATATCCTGTACCCATGTGCACTTGTTACATATCAATTAAAAAATCTAACTTAAATTAGTACTGGTAACTACAAATGGGTTTTATAAGGAAATGACCAGAAACACTTCCATTTATTCAACTTTATTAGGTACAAAGAAATGAATCTGCAGAGGGAGACACCAATAAATATAAAATACAGTGAAACATGGGGAATCACAGACTACAAGGTAGAACAAGGGAGGGATGTGGGGAACGCCCTGGCCCGAGTTCATGGTCAAGGCTCAGTCTGTACACTCTGGAAGGAGCTCAGGGTGCCAGCAGGAGCTCAGAGGGCCGTGGGTTCAGTGATAGGTCTGGAGGAGAGATGTGATGTTGGATTCCTGAGATTTCTCCCTGCTTGCCTTTTTTTTGGTTTCTGCTCATTTCTTTCCTCTGTCCTTAGATAGTTTTGCTTTAATTTCTATCCAGAGGTGCAGAACATGAACAAGGGAGGCAGTCTACTCCAAAACTGGAATTGCCATTGTGCAGGGGTGTCTTCGTCGGGATGATTAAAGCATGTGGACTTACTCTACACAACTGAGAGGAAAGTGGAGTGGGTACTGTTAGAATAAATTCTGCCCTTTTGGAGAACTTCCAGAAACAATACAAATCAAGAACACAAAAGGCCCAAAGAGGCCTTTTCCATTGATTTGGCTGTTACAGTTTGGCCTGAGTCACCCCCAACAGAGATGGCAACTTGACCTTGGCTATTTCTCCTACCTGGGTCAAGGAAACATGACTTCAATGTAGGATACTGCCTTAGTCCTTGTTCTGGACAACAAACAGCCAGGTGTCTGGAGTCCCATGGGCTACATGTTTCTTCACCTTTCCTGGATGGCTTAGCTCGCCTGCTAGGCTTCAGGTGTGAGTGTGAGTGGGTTGTTCTGAGCTAGTGATTGTTCACTGCTCTCCTCCCTGATTTCTTTTCATCTGTAGCTATTTTGAGCACAGCCCAGAGATCAGTCTGTTCCCGTCTATTTTCTCTCCTCTCTGTGGCATAGCCTCCCCACCTTAATGGATGGGAGACAGGAAGCAACCTGCACACTTCCTTTGAGGCTCAAAGAAAGGGTCTGAGGAGCAGTGCCTGCCTCCGCCAACCCTTTCCACATGCAGAGCAGCTGAATTCCATGGGCACACCAACACATCCTGGGGCCCAGCACAAGGCCCCGGGGAGCTTTCAGGACAGTTTTGTTCTTCAGCTTAAAAAGGAGCTCCATTTGTCCTGAGGTGCTTCAGGTTTCACAAGGGTCAGCTCTTTGAGATACTATTTGATGAGATGTTTCCTTCCATGCGTTTCCATGTCACATTGTCCATGGAAATCTTGCATTTGGGATGAAAAGATGGGGAGGGAGACTTCTGGAATACAATGAATAATTTCCCATAATCACAGGTCATCTGTATTTGTTTACCTGAAGGGGCAAACAAATACTGAAATCTCATAAAGCCAAGCTTCCCAGGGTGGGATTGGGAACTTGGAGGGACGGGAGGAGAGTGATGGAGATGAGGACACTAGGTGGCGCTGTAAACAGTTAAGAGCATTGGCTACTTGTAGGATAATTCAGTTACAAAAAGGGGCCCTGGGGAAGGCTTGAAGGGACCAAGCCCACTCCTGCCTTTTACATTGCAATAATATTTACATTAGGCAGCAAAAAGTCATCCCTGTACTGTGAAGTGGAAGTGAGACGTGGCATCTCACTCACTGGAGGCTGCACGGCGCGGTTAGGGTGTGGGGGACATTACTTTCTCTGAGCTGCATCATTGATAAGGCATTATTTGGTCTGATTTTGCAGTTGGTGTGATGAGAATATAAAGTCATGCCAATGAGAGGTTGTTGGTGGATACTTAGGACTTTGGGAGTAACTTGTAACTAAGGATGCTCTAAAAATGGTTCAGAATCTAGCAAGGGCCAGCCTGAAAGCGCATTTACAATCACAGAATGGGCACTATGGGGTGGGACAAGGCTCTATGTACAGACACAAAAAAATGTCAAGAAGCTTTAAAAAAAATGCAGAAGTGATGATGACTGTCTTTAAAAATATGACTCAAAAGTTGTCTAAATGGCTAACGTTCATGCAAACCACATATTTACAATAAATAAACGCTCTGCTCAGAGCCTGTATGTGGACTGAGTACAGCTAGTGATGGCTGAAGTCTGACACATTCTCCTGGGGGTGCTCATCCCTGCTGCACAGTATCCGGGGACCTTGGCTTCATCCCTCTTCTCACCGGAGTGTCTTTAGAGATAGCTGTGAAAACATGGGGAGGTGTTAGTGCGTAGGATTGGAAGACAAGGTGGCGGCCTGAACTCTGCAGCTTTTCCTATCTCTTGCAAAGTCAGTAAGGTTGGAGAGAAGGTCCCATCATATGTAATGAGCTGATTTTTACCCAGGGGATTGTGGATGGAAAAAAGAGATAAAGTGAGATAAGAAACAGATGGTATCTTTTTTTTGGGGGGGGGTCCAGTCATGGGGCCTGAACTCTGGGCCTGGACGCTGTCCCTCAGCTCTTCAGCTCAAGGCTAGCGCTCTACCACTTGAGCCACAGCACCACTTCTGGCTTTTTTCTTTTTTGCTTATGTGGTGCTGAGGAATTGAACCCAGGGCCTCATGTATGCAAGACAAGCTACCGCTGAGCCACCTTCCCAGCCCTGTTATTTTTTTTTATTATGGTTTTTCCATGTATGATCACAAGGAATCTTGACTCAACTCACACTCTCTACAGCTGTCATTCCTGAAAGCAATTTCAACAACTTTCATTGGTCTATTTTCATATATGAGTGTAAAGTACTTTGCCAAATTTTATACTCTCCATTCACTATCCCTTCTAGGAGCCCATTTATGTCCCCAGAGACAGGACTTTATTTTTTTTACATTTCTGTCTTTCTTTTTGAGTGTTTTGAGTGTGTGTGTGTGTGTGTGTGTGTGTGTGTGTGTGTGTGTGTGTGTGTGTGTGTACATGTCAATACTAAGGCCTGAGCTCAGAATCTAGGCGCTGTCCTTTGGCTTTTCCTTTAAAGGCTGGAAGTGAACCATTTGAGCCTTTGCTTCCAGTTTTTTTGGTTGTTGTTCGTTTGTTTCTTAATTGGAGATAAGAGTTTCCTGGACAGCTGGATACCAGTGCCTCACATCTATAATTCTGGCTACTCAGGAATTTGAGATCTGATGATTGAAGTTCAAAGTCAAGCTGGGAAGGGAAGACTGTGATACTCTTATCTCCAGTTAATCACCAGAAAGTTAGAAGTGGGGAAAAAAAAGTTGGAAGTGGAGCTGGCTCAAGTTGTCTTGAGCAGAAATGTTCAGGGACGCCACCCAGGCTTGAATGTCCAGGCCCTGCGTTGAAGCCCCAAAACAGGCACCAAAAAAAATAAAACCTCTCAAAATAACATCCCCTCTCCCCCCAAAAAACAACCCACAACCCGCACACAAAAAAGAGCTTCATGGATTTCCCTGCTTGGGCTGACCTTGAACCATGATCCTCAGATCTCAACCTCCTGAACAGATATGATTACAGATTACAGATATGAGCCACCAGCATTCTGATGGTTCAGTTTTTCAAAAATTTATATTGTTGAAAGGGAATTCACTGTAGTATTTGGCATCTCAGTTAACTGAGTTTATTGAGCTTCTTGGATGTTTATATTCATGCTTCTCATTAATTTTTTGGAAAAATTTGCAGCTACTATTTCTTTATATATCTTTCTACTCCTTTCCTCGCCTCCTGGAAATTCCATAAGAAATATGAATTTCTTTTTTTTGTTTGTTTCTGTCTCTACTCATACTTCCATCTCATTGATACATCGTTTTCTTGGCTTTTTTTGTCACCATCTCCTGGAACTCAAAAAATTAAATCCCCCTACAACAAATCTTCAAAGAAACAACCGCCCAATAAATAAGTGGGCTAAAGACTTAAAGAGAAACTTCTCTGAAGAGGAAAGAAGGATGGCCAATAGACACATTGAAGACATGCTCAACCTCTCTAGCCATAAAAGAAATGCAAATGAAAACAACATTGAGATACCACCTCACTCCAGTTAGAATGGCTATAATCAAGAACTCTAACAACAACAGATGCTGGAGGGCATGTGGACAGAAGGGAACCTTACTGCATTGTTGGTGGGAGTGTAAACTTGTTCAACCACTTTGGAAAGTAGTATGGAGGTTTCTCAAAAGACTCCACATAGAGCTCTCTGAACATCTTTAAGACAGTTGTTATAAAGCCTTTGTTAGTTTCCATTTTTTTCAGAGATAATTTTTGGTGATTTTTTTTCTTTGAATGGGCTATACTTTTCCATTTCCTTGTATGATTTGTGATTTTTTTCCATTGAAAACTCTATATTTGAATCAAATAACTCAATAACCCTGAAAAATGGGATTCTCCTCTTTCCCAGGGGTTTCCTGGGGACTTTTTGATGATCATTTTTATTTTATTCTTTGATTTCTATGGGTTGTCTCTGGGCTAAGAATCAGCCTGTCAATCTGAGATCTCAGGTGTTTCCTGAGCCTGTCTGTGCCTTTCCCTGGGTCTACATAACTATCTAATTTCCCTCATATATGAAGTTACCTTCAAATGTCCTACTCTTTAATGTTTGACTTCTAAAAAAAAGAAATAGAAAAGAAAAACAAAGATAAAAAAATTCTTTAGACATCCCATCAGCCAACAAGAGAGGGGCTTGCCACAACCAGACCCTCTACTTTTTATCTGCATCTCTGATTAGACGTAGCCAAGGGCTATCAGATCTCCAATATTTCCAGTGCAGATTTTTTTCTGTTGCTTTTTATTTTTTTTTTTTCATGCCAGTAATGAGGTTATAAACTCTCCTGCTCTTGATTGGCTTTTTCACTCAAGGATGGCACCCTACCACTTGAGCCACTTCTTTATTTCTGGCTTTTTGCAGGTTAATTGGAGTTGTGTCTCATAGGCTTTGCTGCTTGTGTTTGCATCAAGTCATGGTCTTTAGATCTCAGCTTCCAGAGTAGCTAGGATTACAGGTGTGAGCCACCAGCACCAGCTTCGGATTTTTTTTTTTTTTTTGTTTAGTTCTGTTTTATTCCAATTTAGCGTCTGCAAGTTTTGTATACATTCTACTCCAGAATACATGCAGAGTAGCCTATCAAAATGCTAGGGATACAGAAGTGGGAGCTGCTGAAATTAACAAATTATAATTTAAGGTTCTGCTGGACAACTCAAGCCTTTAGTAGACCCCAGAAACCCAAGACTGTTCGTCAAATAGATTTTGCTGGCACAATGATTGTTTAGGTAGAGAGATTCCTGCTGCTGCTTCTCTTCCATCCTCCAAGAATAATTTCTGTTAACAATTTTGAATATGTCTTCTTTTTTCCTTCTGTACATACACTTTGACTACACTTCTATACCCAGTGCTGAACCTACAAATATTTGAGAAAGTTTAGTGCAATTCTTAGATGGCCTGTAGTTAGAAAATTGGGTGTTTATCTGTTAGAGAAAGAACTCCTTATTACAGGAACATCCTAGCTTTCAGGAATCTAACCCCTCCCCTCACAGATCACTTTCTTTGATGTTCCATAGAACCGGGGATGGCCCAGAACTGTGTTTTACAACTCTGAAACAAGAGGCAAGTCAGGATAGGATTGAAAAGAAATTAAAATGTAAGGTTGATTCTTTTCTGATAAGGAAGAAATATGTTCTCCTTTTAGAGGTAAGTTCACCTTTCCTTAGCCACACTGTGGCACACAGGGGAAGGCAGATGTTTCTGGTGTTTATTCCCACGGACTGGTCCTGTTGGAAGGTATTCCTCAGGGCTTTATTCTTTTCTTTGCCTCTCTCCCTGTCAGCCACAGATCCACCACTCTTCCACTCTCTCAGCAACTGAGACTCCAGCTAGAGTTCCCTTTGCATAACAGGCAAAGGGTGGGTGTGAGACAACCCAATGTTCGTTTACTCTTCTGGTTTTCTTTTAATTTGCACATGTTAGTTGTACAGAGAGGTTCCACTATGGATGGTATTCTTATGCTGTACCCCATCAAAGTCACTCTCTTCCTTTCCTTTAATTGTCCCTCTCCATATTAAAACAATATCATTATGTTTCAGTGGTCTATTTTCATGTGTGTGCATAAGGGACTTCACCGATATCCTCCCATATCCCCGCTTTCCATACTCTGTCTTTCTTCTGGAATCCACCTCAAGCAGAAGGCTTCATCACATGCAATGTGAGAAGTCACTTCTTCCCAGTTTAGGAAACATATTTGTTGTCTCCGGTGCAAGGACATTTCTTCAGACTCATCCCACGAGCACTTTCCTTCCCAGCTTTGCCAATTTCCTATAGGCACCACAGGATTCGAACTGTGATTAAACCTGGCCAAAATTACTTAATAGTATTGATGGAGGAAAGAGCAAGAAGGGTGCAAAAAAAAAAAAAAACCACATGAGAGGATACTGAATTAGGTCACTTAAATGTCACAGGAATTTTCTCTCAGGTTGCTCTGACCATCATAATCAGAGAAGGCCCCGGATGATACGGATGATTAAGACAGAGTAAGTTTAAAAGGTTCTGTATGTGGTGATAATTCCAGGGAAACACTCCTTCTGCTATGGATTTTGAAACTGTAGGTGCTTCATTTTGGCTTGATATGCAGATACACCAAATGGAAGCGAAGGAGAAATGTTAAGCTGTTAAGTACAAAGCTCTACATGTTCCTTTGCTTCCTGTGGAGAACTCCCAGCTTTATGTTCAGAGACATGTTACCTGAGAATTTCTGCCTTTGATGTCATCAGGGCTCTGCCCAGCTGCCTCAGCCTGGAGCCAGGGACCAGGTGTGCGGCCTGAGAGAAACAAAACACAATCTCAACATCTATTGACTCGGGAGCCTGCTGTGTGCACCACTCTTCCCAGAAAACATCAGCAAAAGAACCCAACAATGTAAGCACATCAACCTGACAGTCACCTTCGGGCTTCTGGCCCTAGACCATACATTTCTACTGGATTTGTATGTTACAGGCAATAGACACAGAAGAGTCACATCCAATCTACTATGAGAACACAGTATTAGGCATGAATGCACATTAGAGCTGACTGACACATCCCTGACTCTGCTCACACGCATCTGATGGGCACCCACCATGAGCAAAACAAAAGATTCATCTTTGTTGACATGACTGGACTTCCCTTCCATCAGGGATCCAATCTTCTCTCTAAGATACATTTGTGCTTCTGTGTTGCACAAGTTACGTGTGAGTATATCCTCACAGTTAAGAATTCAAAGAATAAAGAAGATGAAAGCAGATATCCAAAATACTGCTTCTCTGTAGTCCTTCTCCCTAATCTCCATTTTCCTGCCCTAGGATCACGACAACTAAAAGTCCAGGGTTAATTTCTCCAGAACATTGACTTTTTACATAGATCTGAAGCAGTGGGATGCTGCAAAACAGTTTAGAAAGAAATGTGGCCAATAGTATCAAATCCAGAGTAGCCAAGAAAAACTTGGAACACAGTCCTACCCATTGCCCAACACCGAAGCAGGAACAAATACTCTCCCACTGGCAATAGGCTTTCTTTCTATGCATTTTGCACTCTCAAGGCATCTAATGCTTTAAAAATTATATTTATATTGAAATAGTTGCCAGTTAATGTATACAATGCTTTGTATACATTCGTGTCACCTCTCCCACTATTCTCTCCCAATCCACTCATCCTCTCAAGTTACCCAATTCCATTTTCACATATGTACATGGAATAGTATGATGGTATCTGCCCACCTCTTCTCTCTTCATTAAATTGTTCTTATGACATGACACTCTATGCCATTAATTACTGTAGTGTCCGGTGGAGAAGTTCCACTGTTCATGGAAATTAGGATGGATTGTTCTACTTTAAATGAAAAGAAATTAGAATGATGGCATACCACTTCACACTCATTAGATGGCTACTATAAAATTAAACTAAGTTTCAAAAGACAAAATAGCAAGTATTGATTTGGTATGGGGAAATTGTAACCTTTGTGTAAAATATTAGAATTACTATGTAAACAATATTGTGGTTCCTCAAACAGTTAAAATAGAACTAAAAATTAAAACTAGAATTATCACATGACTGTCTATATCTATATTGATGTATCCAAAAGAATTACAAGCAGGGTCTGTGCCCTCATGTTCATAACAACATTTTTCTAAATTGCTAAAATGTAGTAACAACTCAGATGTCCAGAAACAGATGAATGAATAAATGAATGAGATACATACAATGAATATTACTCAGCTCAAAAAGGAAAGGCATTTGTGTATGTGTGTGTGTGGGGAGGGTTTGCTGGGACTTGAACTCAGGACCTTTTGCTCTTGCTTGCTTTTTCTTTCAATGCTGTCACTCTTCCACTTGAGCCATACATCCACTTGTAGCTTTTCACTGGTTAATTGGCGATAAGTGTCTCATGCGTTTTTCTGCCTGGGCTGGCTTTGAACTGAGATTCATAGATCTTAGCTTCCTAGCTCTCTAAGATTACAGCCATGAGCCATCTGTGCCTGGCTCAAAAAGGGAAGAAATTCTGACATTAGCTATGACATGCATGAACCTTGAGGATATTATGCTAAATGAAACAATCCAGCAACAAAAAGCAAATAGTATAAGAAGTAGAGTATTCAGAATCATAGACACTGGAAATAGAATGCTGTTAGTCTTGGTGGCTCACATCTGTAATCCTAGCTAGTCAGTAAGCTAATCAGGAGAATTTCAGTTTGAGGCTAGCAAACAAATTATTTTTCGGTCCGGTCATGGGGCCTGAACTGTGGGCCTGGGCGCTGTCCCTCAGTTCTTCAGCTCAAGGCTAGCGCTCTACCCCTTGAGCCACAGCACCACTTCCAGCTTTTTTTTATGTGGTGCTGAGGAATCGAACCCAGGGCCACAGGCATCCAAGGCAAGCTGTCTACCACTGAGCCACCTTCCCAGCCCCACAAAATGTTTTTGAAACCCTGTCTCAATGCATAAATGATGGTGTGTGACTGTCATCCTAGCTACTGCAGAAAGCAGAAACAAGCCAGCGTGGATATAAAGCAAGAATCTATTTAAAAAATAATCAGAGCAAAAAAAGGGCTGGAGGCATGGCTCAAGTGTCTGTCTAGCAAATCCAAAGCTTTGCATTCAAACACCAGTACCACTATAAAGAATACAAAAACAGTAAGAACGATGGTTGCCAAGAAATAGGGGAGAGAAAAACATGATGTTATTATTTAATAGTTATATCATTTAAGTTTTACAAAATCACAAGCATTCTAGAGTTTGTCTAGACAGAAACGCAACTGTACTTCATGGCATTGTACAATAAAAATGACAAATTAAGTATTTTTTTTTTTTAGAAAAAGTAGCCATGGAAAAATAGCCATGATTGACAGGAGCTACTTTTTCCTTTGACTATGATGAAGATGGCCTGGCTGGGAATGTAGATTATTATAATGACATGGTTAGGTGTCTGTCTCTCTTTCTATCTCTCACTATAATATGACATTCAAGGCCATGTGCGGTACTCACAAATTTCAATCTCTCTATGGGGGCAAGTGTTTGATATCATGATGGTTTCACTCTTTCTATTGTCATGTTCAAAAATACTTGGGACCTATGCATTTCTCCCCAAAGATTTCCTTCCATGCGGCTCCTTGTCACTTTTTTTTTTTTTTGTGGTAAACACACACAACATAAAACTGAGCACTAGTGACATTTACCACATTCACAGTGTATTACCATCACTACTAAGTTCAAAACATCTTCATCACCTTAAAATAAAACTCCATCCCCCTTAGCAGTTACTCCCTATTTTCCATGGCAATCACTAAGCCCTGTTCCTGTAGAAGACTCATCTGTTTTACATAAATGAAATCACACAGTATGCCCTTTTATATTGTTGAGCCACATCTAACTGTATGGTGCCAGTACTGGGGCTTGAATTTAGACCATGTGCTATCCTTTAGCTTTTTTATTTAAGGCTGGTGCTCAACCACTGGAGCTACACTTCAAAAAGCCACTTCTGCATTTTCTGATTAATTGGACACCAAAGTCTCATAGACTTTACTGTCTGTACTGGCTTCAAATAATGATCTTCGGGTCTCAGCCTCCTAAGTAGCCAGAATTATGGATGTGAGCCACCAGCCCCTGGCTTCATAACACATTTTAAGGAATCCATTTATCCGTTGTTCCCATCCATTGGCTGTTGTGAATTTTACTGCAATGAATATCTGAATAGTAATTTAAAGTTCCTTTCCTGGCTCTGTACCTGATGGATCAAACGGTAGTTTTGATCTGCAATTTCCCTCCAACGGCCACGTATTGAAGGATTGGTCTCCAGCCTATGGTGATAATTGGAGGTAGAACCTTTAAGAGATGAAACCCTTGGGAGACTTTGGGTCATTGGATATGCTCTCAAAGGAGATGGGGAGACTCCTCTATTCCCTTCTCTCTTTGGCTCCTGCTGGTATGAGAGGAGAGGCTTTGCTCTACTGTGCACTCACTTCCACGCTCTAGTGCATCTTCTTAGGCCCAAAGCAGTAGGACCAACAAAGCATGGACTGAAACCACCAAAGTGTGAACCAAAATGAGTCGATTACCTCTTAAGATGATTCAAAGATTTAAGTTGATGGGGAAGTGATTCTGAAGGAAGTTTTGGGGCAGAGGAAAAGGAAAAGGAGGAGGAGACATAATTCTTGAAGCAGCGAACGTCCCTTCCGCTCTGTCTCTGTTTTTGGTGGCCTTTCTACTTGAGCCACTTCTCTTAAGTCGATTAACTTTGGCTGTGTGAGGTTGTGAGGTAGAGCTTTTCTTTTATTCTCAGTCACTGTGGATGGATTGAGGAAGTCCATTTGGGCTGACACCTAAGCTCTGTCATCCAGAAAAACCATGATCACCTAAGCATCCCTCTGATACACATGCATATTTCACAAGGGTGTCATTTATTGACACCTACCAACCTAATACCTAAAGTCTAAATAGCCTCAGCCCAGTCAGTACCCTATACCCCTGAGGCACTATAGGAAACTTGAACTATCATAGGTCTGAGCTGTCATCGGCCTGGATGTCTTCCCAGCCATGTGGGAGTGTGTCTCGAAGCCTTTGGGATCCCAACTGCTGCTTCTACATCGATAATCACACATCACAACAGCTGATTTCTCACAAGTCTACAAGGAGGCACGTGGTGGGGTCTTGGTGAGGGACGATATTTCTCACATACTGCAGACTCTGGTGTACCTGAGGCACCCTGTAGGAAATTCCTATGCATTTGCTGGCCTGAGCAGGAATGCAATGCTAGGCATACACAGTATCTGTCCCTTCCCATGATTGGATTTCGTGGTCTATTGGAATAGTAAAGTGTACAGGATTTCCAGGATCCTCTTCCTTTCCATTTGTCTTATTCCAGAACAGTGACATTTACACATGGTCCTAGTGTCAGGCTGATGCACTTTTGCCTTGAGCAGAGCAGGCAACAGCTACCAGATTACTTGGAAGCTGAGTCCTGCAGAAAGTACTTTACCAGGTCTGTTTGGAAGGACAGGCCTATTGATTCCTAGTCTGGGGCCAGCACTAGACACATCATTTTCCATTTGAGTGCACAGTGGGTGGGACTGGGAGCCCCACTTTGGTGATGCAGAGGGAACACATCCAAAGCTCATCCCATGTTGCTGACTCTGCCCCTTCTGCCCTACCAGATCAGCCCAGCACTGTACAAGTGGCTCATAGCAAGTACTGGGCAGCATCACTGTGTGGTAAGCACCCAAACCTTCATGTGCCTTTGGCCTTCTTTCTGTTTTTGCCTCCAGAGGAAGACTGGCCAGACTCCTCCTTTTTTTCTGCAGGCTAGATAGGTAAGTCCAGTTAAGGCCTGTCTTGGAGCCTGAACACTCAATTAAAATCAGGAGGAGGCTCTCTCTGGGCTGTGAGTCTCAGTCATGGCTGTTCACTGGAATCACTTGGCAGCTTTCAGAAATACTGATCTCGGGGTCCCACCCTGGATATTCTGATTAGATGCAGCCTGGCCTTCTGGACACGTTTTAGGTCATTCTAAAGTGGAGTCAAGGTTGAGAACCACTGGCCTAAGGGTATTTTTCAATTTAATGAGTTACCAGAATTGAGGAAGTTTCCTGGTACAGGTGGGCGGGCTGGGGAATTCTGTGTGTGGGAAAGCGGGATCCAGGTTTTTTTTTTTTTTCTGATTATTCATTCAAAGTGCCTATATCTGATTTCCCTGTTTTGGGGTGTGTTTAGTCCCTCAGTAAAAAGCCCCAGTAAAAAGGAAGAATGCGTGGCACATTTAGTCATCCAAATCTGATATCAAATAGCCTTGGAGTTCTACCAAAATAAAACAAAAAACAACCCTCCAAATAAATTCTTAGTTATCAAGACAAATAAATGATCTGGGATTTCTAGCGGTATGCACAGTACTACATCCTCACAGTAAGACAGAACAATCATATTACCCTTTACGCTGGAGTGGGGGACATCCAGCCCTCTGGCCTTATGAGGCCCAAGAAATCATTTAGTAAATGAGGGGACAGTCATCTGCTTCTTGTCGGCTGCCCTCAGTCCTCTATCTGTACTGATAATCTTGAATGGCCCAGGAGTAATGTTATAAATGTCCAAAGGGCCCTAGGGAGGAAAAAGATTTTCCACCCCTGCTATTCAGTCTGTATGTCTGAAGAGTCAGGAAAAGCCAGGAGCCTTGTCGAGGTGGTACTTACTTCTAGTGAGCTTGCTGGGGTAAATCTTCTGGCATGGTTTGTACTCATCTGGAGGGGGAAAGTCTTCCACAGAATGGAACGTGAATTTAGACTCGAAGTCATCTGTACATGTGGGAAATGGCAAAGTGTACTTAGGTTACTGTTGCTACCCAAGTGTGATCAATTTCAGGAGCACGCAGGTTTTGCTGTCTGCCTGCTCTGTGTAAAGGTTTTAATGGCAGGGCTATTTTCCCTAATACATCCATTCACCCTTCCAGTTTTATCAGAATGTATCGTCATTCCCTAGAACCCACTCGACCTCACACCAACCACCATCTTCAGGAGGCTGCTGTCCTTTTAGGGACAGAAGTGGTACAGTGCTAGTCAGGCAAAGGTCCAGAGTCAGGGGGAGGGAGCCAGCAGCCTCAGATGCCTGCTGAGCTCCCTCAGGTAGGAGGGCCTTGTGGGGAGGGAGAGGTGCCAAAAAGGAGTTCTCACCTTGGCTGGTGGGGGGGAACACAGCCTGTGTCCAGTGTGGGACTCCCCAAAGTGAAGGGGTTCTGCCATAAGCTCCTGGTGGAGGAGGGGAGAAGCCACGTGGCCATTTCCTGGGATAACTTCCTGCTTTGTCCTTTAGGCCTTGTGTCTCACAGCAGCTCAATAGCTCAGCACCCAGACAAGATGTAGATGCTCTTTTTCTTTGTGTGTGTGTGTGTGTGTGTGTGTGTGATGCTGTTACTGGGTTGAACTAAGGGCCCAGGTGCTATCCCTTAGCTTTGTTTTTTCTCAGGGATATAGAACGGTGCTCTACCACTTGAGCCACAGCTCCATTTCTAGCTTTTTGGTGGTTGGTTAGAGATGAGTCTCACAATCTTTCCTGCCCAGGCTGGCTTTGAACCATGATCCTCAGATCTCAGCCTCCCCAGTAGTCACTGGTGGCTCACCAGTGCTCAACTGGATGAAGAGGTTTTATGGTCATATGTGACCCTACATGGCTCTCCGTCCCATTTCCACATTTGCGTTCTGACTGTAGCCATTTGTGGAGCCTCCCACTCATTCTTTCTTACCCAATTTACTCTTTTAGGCTCATGGACTAATCTCTCCATGGAGACACATACACCAACACATACACACATGACACATGGACACACATACAGACACACACAGTTTCCACACTGTCAGGTCCCTTTGTGTTTCCTTCCTCTAATCTGAATCAGAAGGCTAAAGGTTGAATCCCAGAACTACCTCGGAGGTATTGAGAGAAATGCTATTTCATAGACCTGCAGGCTGTTCTGCAGTTGAGTATACTGAAAATTACACACTCTGAAATGATGGTGTGGTGTGCTGGCCAACTCCCTAGAGGCCAGGAGAGCTCACTTAGCTCACTGGCAGACAGTCCAATAGAAACTGTGCACCCCACTTACCCATGATGTGCAGACTTCCATTCCGCAGCTGACCTCCAGGTTGCTGGCTTGCAGTCCAGGCTGGGGCCTGCTGGCTCTTGCTTGAAAGCTCTGTGGTGGGCGATCTTGCAGGGGGTGCTGGCGGTGGGTTTAGCTTCCCTCCACTGGCCCCTTCCAGACAAGATGATGGGACATTCAGAAACAGGATGGTGGATGCTATAACTTTATGTATTGTTAATTTGTTTAGACTTTAGGATGTAATATATATATATATCAGTGAGCAAAAGAGCCCCTGCTGGATCTAATTCGTTTGGGATTGCATTACAGTTCTTCCATTAGGACAAATAACCCAGCCTCTTAGTGCCTTAGCTTCCTCATCGGTAGAATGAGGATATTACTAGTACATCTAACTAGGGTTGTTGAGATGTAGTAAACCTTAGCTATCATGATGGATACCAGTGACACGGATAACTCTCATAATCAGATGGTACAATCCTAGAAAGGGGACACACTGAAGAGCCATAGGAATGGGAAGGGCCATATGTAGGTTAGGGGCTAGAGGGAGGCCAGAAAAAGAAGCAACAAGGATATGTTTTGATGCTGGGTTTGATTCCCATTGGCTCTTTATTGCAAACCCATTTTCCCTGCCAGTCAGTGTAAACCTTTTTCATCTACCAAGGTCCAACTCAAATCTGCTTCCTCCACACTTCCTAGGTTTTTGGGGAAAGATGCATCTCTGTCCACGTTTTTGTCTTGTTTGTTTTCTGTCAGACTTCCTTTGTAATCCATAACCCACTGTCATGACACTTCAGTACAGCTACTCTAGCTGCCTCAGTGTTCCTCAGTGACTGTGCCAACATCCTCTGCCACGTGCTATGATGGAACCCCCACTACTGTTAACTGGGCATAATGCTCACAGTTATAACCTCATCCTCTTCTCCAAACCTGGGGTGAAGCAGAGCTACCTTTATTTTGTCATGAGCCAAGTCTCATATTTAAGGGCACAAAGAAAACAGATGAGCACTCTTCTGGCCTAGCATTTTGCGTCAGGAGCAGGTGTACGTCCAGCTGCAGGGCTGGGTCCCATGGCTGCTAGAGCAACTGTTCTCCCCAGCATCCATCCATTCCCTCTCTCCTGTTGAGCTTCCCCCTTCCCCTTTCCAATTTTCCTTTCCTAGGTGCCAGAATCCATTAAGGCTCTGCCTGCCCCTGTGAGCAGACTGAAGGAGCCAAGGTCTAAATGGATGCCACCTTTCCTTTGGATGAGTAGCTGGGTTACATGGGAAGGAGAGGAAAGAAAATACATTGTGGCCCTGGCTACATTCAGGCCTTTATTTAATAGTCTCACCAATCCTATGTGAATGGATGATGGTGTTCCTGTTTCTCAAAAACACAGGCAAGAACACAATATTACAACAATTCTGCGGGTGTGGTGGGGAGGGTGGCTATTGCTGTCCCCATTTTACAGATAAGAAGCCCCAGGGTGGCTAAATGTCAGGTTCATGCAGCTAGTACCGACCAGCCCATGGTTTTCTGCATGATCTTGTACAAGTCTCCCAGCCCTCCTCACCCTTAGTTTCCATTTCTAAAGAGCTCCGACAATAAAGTCCCATTGAAGAAACAAATTTCCTGTGTTCCACTAAGGCACTGAATAGCTCTGGTCTCAAACAAAATCCTAAGGCCTGACACATCCCAAGGTCCTGCACAATGCAGCAGGCCCCACCACCTGCCTTACCCGGGCCTCGGCCAAGCCTCTTCTTCTGCAGGAGCAGCTGAGACCCTGGAGGAACCGGAGGAGCAGACAGACCCTGCACACCAGCCTTCTGAGGCTGGGCCTGGAAACTGGGAGATTTGGGGGGCAGGGGAGGAGGGGTTTCACAGCTGTTATTAGAACCTGGCAAAGGGGGTGCGGGCATAGGTGCCCTGGAGGAGCAGGAAGCATACAAGGGGAGTGTAGGTGGCAGTGGTGGCGGGGGGTGGCGGGGGTGGTGGGGCAGGGAGCTCCTGCACCTCTTGGGCTGGGCTGCCAGGTTCTGAATTGAGCCCAGGATATCCACAAGGTGGGAGAAGAGGGAGAGGGGGAGGGATGGGTGGGAGGGGCAAGGGGGCTAGCTGGGGCTTGGGAGCTTTGTCGCCCAGCACTGAGGCAGGGAGCAGCTGAGGTGGGGTTGGAGGAAGAGGAGGAGGAGGAGGAGGAGGAGGAGGAGGGGGAGGGGGGTGGCACGGCACAGGCAAGAGGGGGTGCAGCGACTGGGAGATTGCCTTTGATTAGTGGGACAGGTGGAGAGATGAGGGAGGCTTTGACGGGGGGCGAAGGAGGTAAAGGTGGAGGTGGGGGTGGGGGAGGTGGGGGCGGGGTGGGAGGGGGTGGGGCAGGCACGCTGGGGCGAGGAGGGCCCATCCTGGAAGTGCCCTGCACCTCTGAGGCATTGCCTAGCCTGGGAGAGGCAGGGGGGTTAGGTGGGCCGCCCATGGCCTTGATGGGAAGCCTGGGAGAAGGTGCACGGGAGCCAGGGGCTGGCCCGGTCTTGCCACCTGGAAATGAAACACATTCTGGCTTAGTTCAGCAATAATGCAAGGAGATGCCTTGGTGTGAAGGTGGCACTTGTGACACTCAGGCCTGAAGCCGGCCAGTTGCATGGTAGATGGCTTCTTCTGCACAGTCCTGAGAGGCCTCAGGCCGGTCCTCCTTACACAGCAGGGCCAGCTGTCCTTCCTCCCAGGACCCTCCCAGCATCCAAAGAGCTCTTCCAAACACTCCATTTAAATGCAATACACTAAAAACACTGAATACTCATCAAAGCACAAATGGCTGCAGTAGATCACACAGAAAAGGAGATTGGGTAGGTTCTCTCATTAGTAATCCGTTTCTCCATCTTGGATATTGAGCTAGTCTTGTGTCATTTGCTTTGGCCAAGAGGATGTCATAGGAATGAACACTACCTGGACTCCTGTTCCTAGTGCAACTTCCAGTACGAAGCCTAAAAGTCTTGGTGTGTGTCTTCCTTCTCTCATGGAACCATGCCGCTGGAGATTGGGAGAGCCTGGAGTGCTAGGGTGACTCAGGGCAATTGGTCCCGCTGAGACACCAGAGATTGGAGAAATCTAAGACTAGACAAAGCCCAACCTGCAGCTGTCTGCAGATGCTAGAGGAAGCTGAGTTGAGATCACCCTAGATTACCAGTGGACAGAATTATAGGCTACATGTTTAAAGCTCCCAATAGTTAGTGTTTTGTTACACAGCAATGCCTAGCTGATACAATGACTCGTACATTGCCAGGGACTCCACAGTAATACCATCATAAACTTCTATTGCATTTGTACCTCTGTCTGTACACTATCACATCATTGCTAAGTAACACACAGAATGACAAGTTACTCTTTGTTGTTGTTGTTGGTCGTTGGGCTTGAAATCTGGGCTTGGGTGCTGTTCTTCAGCTCTTTAGCTCAAGGCATGCACTCTACCACATGAGCCACAGCACCACTTCCGGTTTTCTGGTGTTTAATAGGAGATAAGAGTCTCATGGACTTTCCTGCCCGGGCAGGCTTTGAACAGCGATCCTCATATCTCAGCCTCCTGAGTAGCCAGCATTACAGGCGTGAGCCACGGGCACCTGGCTGACAAGTAACTCTTTCTTTAATGGGTAAACTTTGAACAGAATGATCACTTAAAAGGTTCTCAAGAGTACTTACCTGTGGTGCTACATCCCTGTAACCCTCGCTACCCAGTAGACAGTCCTGACAAAAAGTTAATGAGACCTTCATCTCAACAAAAGAAGGTAGGTATGATGGTCCTCACCTATAATCCCAGCTATGTGGGAGGTATTCACAGCTAAGAGGATTACAGTCTGAGTCTGGTGCCCAGAGAATAACTTGAGATCCTAGTTGAAAAATAACTGAAATCAAAAAGGGCTGAAAATGTGGCTCGCGTGGTAGCATGTCTGCCTAGCAAGCATGAGGTTCAGAGTTCAAATGTCAGTTCTGCCTCCCTTCTCCCCCAGAAGGAAGATTCCTCAAGAACAATGCTAGGCGTTGGGAAGGTTCTACTTTAGAGCTGTGCTGCTGTGACTGTGGATGAAGTACGAGTCTCTCACTGTGTACGTGGCTACACAGTTGCTTCTACACTTGTGAAGATTAAAAAAAAAAAAGACTACAAGGTAGATGGTTTTGACTTTTTCCTCACCTGCCGCATCCCTCTGACCTGTTGGTCTTAACACAGGAAAGCCTCCAGCGAAGAGATCTCCCAGGGCTGGAGGGGTGCTTCCTCCCCGCGCATTTGTAGGATTTGCAGAGCCTCCTCCTTCTTTATTGGTTCCTTTAGAACCTTCAGAGTGGAGAAGCAAATAGATGAGATGCCTGTGCAGAGCTGTATGAGCCATACTCCCTCCAGACCACATGTAACATTACCCTTGGCAGCCTCCCATTGTCCCCGTCCAATGTCACTGTTCCACTCCGTATCTTCCTCATGCAAACTCTGCCATGGCACTCTGCCTAGGTCTTCCTGCTGCCTTCTCCATTCCTACTGAACGGCTGGCCATGTGTGGCCAACCAACCTGAAACGTGACCAAAGGGACCTGACTAACTGTCATTGGGTGAGTGCCATTAGGGGAATTGGCAGCTGTTTGTAAATTAGAAAGCCCAAACATGGTAGATGTATAGTTAGTCTTATCCACTTGACACTGGGAAGACTAGATAAAGATTTCAGTCAATCATCCAGTTCTTATCCACAGAGCATTAATAAAAATCACAAACAGGGAGTAATGCCTACACTGACTTCTGCTTCAGAATTTTCCTTCTTGTATTTCAGCGGTCAGGCCCTGAGCGCTTCTTGCTTCCCTGACTTCGTTATTTTTGTCGGTCGTAGGGCTTGAACTCTGGGCCTGGACACTGTCCTCAGCTCTTCAGCTCAGGGCTAGTGCTCTACCACTTGAGCTACAGCACCACTTCTGGTTTTCTGAGTGGTTTATTGGAGATAAGAGTCTCATGGACTTTTCCTGCTTGGGCTTTGAACCGTGATCCCCAGATCTCAGCCTTCAGAGTAGCTAGTATTACAGTAGGTGTGAGCCACCAGCGCCTGGCTCTCTGACCTTTTTCTTGGTCCAAGAGCCTGGAAGTAACTAACGTAACCCTTCTGGATAGATGTGGTTACTAACTAAAAAAAATGAGAAGATATGCAGCATGAATAAGAATTCCAGGCAAGCAGGGCGCTAGTGGCTCTCATTTGTAATACTCAGGCAGCTAATATGTGAGGATCATGGTTCAAAGGCAGCCAAGGCAGACAAATTCAAGAGATTCTTATCATCAATTAACCAGCAAAATGTCAAATGTAGATGCGGTTCAAGTGGTAGAGCACCAGCCTTGAGCAAAAAAGCTGAGGGCAGTACCCAGGCCCTGAGTTCATGCCCCAGTACAGGTAAAAACAAAACAAAACAAAAGCAAACCATAACAAAACAAGACAGAAAAAATAAACAGTAATCAAGGCAAACCTTTACAATCTGAGCTAATACTCAGCAAGAAATTAGGAAACAGTGCCCACTGGTGGAAGAAAGTGATCAGCTTATTCTGAGCATTTTGCTTACCTCTTCTTTTTTTTTTTTTAAATTAAATTTTATTGTTTTGAGGTAGGATGTCCCCTTGACATCCTTATAATCCTACTATTTATAATCCTACTATTTATAATCCTACTATTTCAGCCTCCCAAGTGCTGAGACTCTCAGATGTGTACAACCATGCTCAGCTTAGTCTTAATATGGACATCTATTATTTACTCATTGGAGTGATTAGGCAATGGATATTCCAATAAAACATACTCATCTGTTAGCTGAGCTAAAACAATTAGACCATTAATCTAACCAGGAACTTTTATTATAATCTATGTTGAAAGTATTACTTTAAAAACTGTGTCTATCTTTGGGTGTCAACATATATAATTACAGATATGAAATAAAATTATGTTTTTAGATCCTTAACAGAAAGAACAGTGCTGGAGGAATATCAATACCGAATTTCAAACTCTACTACAAAGCCATAGTAATCAAAAAAGCTTGGTACTGGCACAAAAACAGACTTCAGGACCAATGGAATAGAATTGAAAACCCAGAAATGAACCCACAGACCTATAGCCAACTAATCTTCAATAAGGGAGCTAAAAAAATAGAATGGAAGAAAGACAGCCTCTTCAGTAAATGGTGCTGGCAAAATTGGTTAATCACTTGTAGTAAACTAAAACAAGATCCTTATGTATCACCCTGCAGAATCAATTCCAAATGGATCAAAGACCTCGGAGTCAAAGCAGACACCCTGAAAACATTACTGGACAGAATAGGAGAAACCCTAGGTCTCCTTGGTACAGGCTGAAATTTTCTTAATAGAGACCCAGAAACACAACAAATCAAAGAAAAGTTGGACAAAAGGGATTGCATGAAGCTACAGAGCTTCTGCATGGCAAAGGACATAGCTAGCAAGATCAATAGAAAACCCACAGATTGGGAAAAGATCTTCACTAGACAGACAATGGATAAGGGTCTCGTATCTAAAATATACTTTCAATTCAAAAAAATCAAATCCCCCAACAACAAATCCTCAAAGAAACAATTGCCCAATAAATAAGTGGGCTAAAGACTTAAAGAGAACTTCTCTGAAGAGGAAAGAGGATGGCCAATAGACACATGAAGAAATGCTCAACCTCTCTAGCCATAAAAGAAATGCAAATGAAAACAACATTGAGATTCCACCTCACTCCAGTTAGAATGGCTATAATTTAGAACTCTAATAACAACAGATGCTGGAGGGGATGTGGACAGAAGGGAAACCTACTTCATTGTTGGTGGGAGCGTAAACTTGTTCAACTACCTTGGAAAGTAGTATGATGTTTCCTCAATAGCGCTCCCCTATGACCCAGCAATCCCACTTTTGGGCATTTACTCAAATGATCACAAACAAGACCACACTAAAGCTACCAGCACAGCTATGTTTATTGCAGTGCATTTTATCGTAGCTAAGATATGAAACCAATCCAGATGTCTCTCAGTAGATGAATGGATCAAGAAAATGTGGTATATATACACAATGTAATTCTATGCCTCCATCAGAAAGAATGACATTGCCCCATTTGTTAGGAAATGGAAAAACTTGGAAAAAATTATATTAAGTGAAGTAAGCCAGGCCCAAAGAAACATAGGTCCCATGGTTTCCCTTATTTGCAATAACTAGTATATGTCTGAGACAAGCAGAAAAGGTCAGATAAGATGATGTTAAGCGAAATGAACCCCAAGATAAGGACACAAGTGGGTTTTTCTTTCTTGCTATTGTTTCTAACCTATTTATAAGGTACCACATGATTTTTTTTTGTTGCTTTGTATGTCCTCCCCCACGGTATAACTCCTGTTTTCACTGTATTTGATGTTGGTATAATTTGGGGAGTGGAAAGAAAGAAAGCAAATTGTTTAAATAGAGATACAGGTGGACCCATTGCAACAATGAGATGTACAAGATGCTATGTCGAAAAATGAACTTTACAATTTAGGCGAGGGGGGATTGTGGTTGTAGAGATGGGAGGGAAGGGATGGTAGGGGAAAAACAAAGGAGGAGACAACAATGTTTGATAAGAAATGTATTCATTGCCTTACTCATGTGATTGTAACCCCTCTGTACAGTATTTTTACAATAAAAAACTTATTTAAAAATTATGTTTTTAGAACTTTGAGACTTACCATCACATACAACATTGCTAAATATATAAAACACTTCAACACTATACATTACTAACCAGTTCAACATATATTTTTTTAAACCTATAGTGGTAACCAAATTAAAAAAAAAAAACAAACAGGACTTATGGCAGATGAGAAAACTGAGCCTGAAAAAAGATCCCTAGGGGTGATGTCAGTGGTAGACTATATGCGTAGTATAAAACCTTTAGTGCCAGGAACAAAAGAAGGAGAAGAGATTCTTCAATTTGATTGGTAGCAGAAATATAATCACTGCTCTTTCTTCCTTCCTCCTTTCCTCTCCTCCCCCCTCCCCCTCTCCCCTCTCTTCCCTTCCTTGTCTTCCTCCCTCCCTTCCTTCCTTTCTCCCTTCCTTCCTTCCTTTCCTTTTCTTTCTCTTTCCCTTCCTTCCATTCTTTGTGCCTTCCTCTATCCCTCCCTCTCTCCCTCCCTTACTCTTTTCCTTTCTTTTCTTCCTTTCACCTCTCTCTCTTTCTCCCTCCCTCTCTCTTTTCTATCATGCCTTGAAAGACAGAAGTCTGGCATGATGATTCCATAATATATAATTCTGAACACATTTTTTTCCTTGTGAAAATGAAATAAAACCTTTTTCCTTTCTTTACTTTTTAAAAATTTGGTGGTACTGGGAATTGAACGCAGTGGCTCAATCTTGCTAGGGAGGTGGCTCTAACACTTAAGCCACATCACAGCCCTTTCTTCTTCAGTTTGATTTTCATATAGGATCTTGTGATTTTGTTCAGGGCAGCCTCAACAGGCATCTATCCTGTTACCTCTACCTCCCAACCAAGTAGCTGGGATTACAGGCATGAATCATCAAGCCCAGTGTGTGTGTGTGTGTGTGTGCGCACGCGCGTGTGTGCACGTGCATACATATGTGTGTATGGTAGTACTGGGACTTGAACTCAGGGCCTGAACTTTTTTGCTCAAGGCTAGTGCTCTACTGCTTCATACCAGCTTCACTTCTAGCTTTTTGGTGGTTATTTGGAGGTAAGAGTCTCAGGAAATTTCCTGCCTGGGCTGGCTTTGAATCTTTAACATCAGATCTCAGCCTCCTAAGTAGCTAGGATTATAAGCATGAGCCATTGGTATCCAGCTCCAGCTTGCCTTTGAGAGCATTTTGCTAACTTTTCCCTGGGCTGATCTTGAATCACAATTCTGCCTCTCAAATAGCTGAGATTATAGATATTACCACCATATCTAGCCTCTGAGACCTTCATTTTCTACCACTGAGTTTGGGACTATGTTGATACAGGGTAACTGACCTTTAAATGTCACCCACAGGGACACACAATATGGTATAGTCATATAAAGAAATTGTATGTAAAAGGACTGGAGTACTCATACATGGTATAACATAGAAGGAGCTTAAAAACATAACAAGTGGGAGAAGTTGGTCACAAAAGGCCAGGTGTGATATGATCCTATCCCCATGAAAGATCTAGAAATAGCAACTCCATAGAAACCAAAGTCGGTCAGTGATTGCGGGGGTCGGGACTGGGAGCAGTGTATATGGTTTCCTTTTGGGGTAATGGAAATATTCTGGAACTAGATAGGAGGGATGGCTGTAACAACAGTGCAAAACTATTAGATGCCACCTGAATGGGACATTTTAAAATGGCAAAGATAGTGAGCTTTGTTTTATGTATTTTAAGGTAATAAAAAGACATCCCACTATAGAGTTGTTATGTATTTGTTTGTACTTAGAAATCTTTGCTTTTGGAAAAGCTCTGATTTTCTCACCCACTTGAGGTAGCCTGGTCACAAATGCAGCCCGGGGGTGTGTCTGGCTGTGCCTTACACACCTGTGCTGCCCTGGGTTCCTGACAGGTCTAGGTAAACTGCGGACTCACTCTCTATTTGAGGGGCACTGCGGTCATTGATCTGTGTGACTTTTCGCAGCTGAGTTCCTTGCTGGATGTCAGCCAACAGTGCACTCCGACCTTTCAGTTCTGTCTTTCTCAGGCTGGAAGTGTCTGTGCTCACCTGTAAGGGAAGAAGAGGGATTTCACTTAATGGCATACATATACCATTGGTAGATAAGCAAGACACCCTATCGGTTGGGAGCTTCTCGTGCCATAGTTCTGTCTTCCATGCTCTATTCCTAAGGCCAGTCTTAGAGGTGCAATCATCTTCAGGTCTCAGGGGAGACTGCCTTGGGCATTGTCCACACTGTAATTTGAGCTGATAAGGAGCAGAAGTTTCATGGGTTATCAGAACCAGGGATATCACACAAAAAAAGTGTATGGGAAGTTGGTAATAAGGGGAATGGAGGGCATTTCATCAGAAGACATAGGCAAGGGAATTCTCTGCAGTTAGGAGATTTATGTCACACGAACTTAGAGATGGTTAAGCACTTCTCGAAGCAAGAAATATTTGCGTCCCTATTGCTTAGACAATACCATATGTTTTGGGGCTTCAATTTAAGCATCATCACCTGGAGGTCTTTTCTGATTCCAAATATAAATAAAGTCTGCTTGATTGCTTTCACTTAGGATATCATATTCCTTTCTATACCATATTTATCATGGGGTATAAATTTACATTTATGTTTTCATTGTGAAGATATCCATTGGAGGATAACAGTTTGATGTTCATAACAACAAAGGATTCCCTGGCAGGGAAAATACTTATGTTTTGTTCACCAAGTTGATCAGGAACTGGCTTGAGATAGGCTCAAAAATAATCTATTAGGCAGATAAATGAGTAAGTGAATGAGTGAGAGAACTAAACATAGGAGGTATAAGACAGCATTTTTGCTCTCCAAGGTGTAAACATATGCCAGGGACCTAGGAAACACTGTGAAGAGTTAAGCCACCCCATGATGTAACACATAACCAAGGATCTACTATGTCCCACAGAGATGATGGAGAGATTAAAAAAATGGCCAACTCAGGCTGAGCAGGCTTCCAGGGAAACGTGAAATTTTAGATTGTCCCTGATGTGTAACTGGGATTTACAAAACTGTTCAGTGGTTATTAGTCCCTGTTCAGAAAAGGCAAAAGTAGGGTTTCTGACTAGAAATTCCTCATCTCTGTAGTCTCAGAGACTAGAAATAAAGGTACCATAGTCTAGGCTAAAATATGTTGAGTCCACATTTTCACAGATTGGTGCTATAGCTCAGGTTACCCTGCATCAGCAGGCTTCAAGCCTGATTCTTGTTGCTTGGAAACATGTTTTTTTTTTTTTTTTAAACATTGAGAGGGGCTGATGGATGATGATCAATATAACAGCTGTGAGACAGAAACCCCAGAAGTCATTAATTGGGTATATTTAGATGTAGATAGAGATAAATGTACAGATACACACACATACACATATATTATATAGATAGAATGCATACCTAAGGTATATGCACAGCAGGGTCATTCTCATACATAGGTTTCTAAAATATTTACTATAAGCAATTAAAATCAGAAATCATTTTGAACTACAAAGGTTGAGATTTTAAAGTCTTATTTTACTCAAAAATAATTATGAGTAGAATAACAGAAATATTATGGCCCTAGGTAAGAAGGTATAAACTATGCATTTGACATTGAAAATCCAGTTATGTATTATGGTCAGAAATATGGAAAAGAGGGTTATTTATAACTTTCTTCCTATGTGTAAGATAAACAGCAATGAACCATAATGATATTCATGGCTCTATTCAGGCCACAGGGAAGGTGAGGACTTGAATGGAGCATTCTTCTGTTTAAAAGAAGCAGGACCAGGAATCATAAGAAACCTCTGCTCCTCACTTCCCTGGAGAGAGAGGCCATCTTACTGTTTATTACTAAGATGTAACCTTCACTCTCTGACCTTTTCTAGCCCAGGTATTTCAGGAGAGCTTACATTGAAAAGCTTACATTGAAGTAATGATATTCATTTTAGTACCTACCAGGCATGTGCCTCCATAAGCCTCTGAAATTCTATACGACAGATCTGTTAATAAATGTTTCCTACATCAGCAAATATTTATACTCTGCCTAAAATTCACCATTCCTTCTCTGACTTCAGACTTTGTGTTCTTTGTCCTTCTGCTAGAGGGCATACCATTGATATGGTGTCCTTCAACTCTCTCCTCTACCAAAACATAATGGATTTTGTATAAAAGGACATATTCATTTGCACACTGAAGATCATGTTATTCAAAGACAGTCATTTGTAGTTTATTTGCAATATTGATCAACAACTCAACCATAATTCTGCTTTTTAAAATGGCTTCCAAAACGCTAAGAATTCTTATTACCATGGTTACTGGATACAGAAAGAGGAGAAGAGATTCTTAAATATTCACTTGGATGTTTTTATTCTACGCAAATCCTGATCACTAGGAACTTCACTAAAAATATAATCAACAGAGAGAAAGCTACCATGAGACACTTTTCCCATGGAAAATACATGTTCCAAAAATTTTGGCCATTTCTGATTCTTATTAAAGGTGATATGTTGAATATGAACGTCTACTGAGTTCTACACAAAGCTTTGGGTCATTCAGTTTGCCTACAGCAAGCTTCAAAAAATAGCTCAATATCTTAAAAAGGTGAAATAGTGGAAAAGGTATGCACATTATCTCATCTCTTTTGAAGTAAAGGCTGAAAAACTGAAGTGAGCTAATAAGATCAGGAATATCACAATCAAATGATAGTACTAACAGAGCCAAAAATTCATACAATGCCTTTCCTTCTATCCTGATAAAATATAAGAGCTTCTGCATATTATTTGTCTTTCCATTAAGTGATTCAACCATATTTACAGTGTTTAGGAGAGGAAATGACAGTCAAATCTAGATTGAATGCCCTCTGCTATGTGTCACCTTGATACCATTATGCTATTCCTGTGTCAGTCTCATACTGATGTCTATAAAGAGTCTCTAGTGAGCCGGGAATAAGTGGCTCACATCTTATAACCCTAGCTACTCCAGGAAGCTGAGATCTGAGGATCATGGTTCAAAGCCAGCTTGGGTAGGACAGTCTGTGAGACTTTCATTATCAACTAACCACCTAATAACTGGACGTGGAGGTGTGGCTCAAAGTGGTAGAGTGAGCCTTGAGCAAAAAGGCTTAAAGATAGCATCTAGGCCCCTTCAAGTCTCATGAGAGACCAAAAAAAAAAATAGGTAGCTAGTTCATCTTAGTTCTTTATGTCAATTACTATATCTAAACCCAATCATTTTTTGTACTCATGTGTCAGTCCTGGGGCTTGAACTCAGGCTCTAGATGCTGTCCCTGAGCTTTGTTGCTCAAGGTTAGCGCTCTACCACTTGAATCACAGTTCACTTCCAGTTTTTGGGTTTTTTTTTTTTTTTTGGTTGGTCGTGGGGCCCAAACTCTGGGTGTGGGTGCTGTCCCTCATCTCTTCAGCTCAAGGCTAGAGTTCTACCACTTGAGCCACAGCACCACTTCTGGCTTTTTCTGTTTTTGTGGTACTGAGGAATTAAACCCAGGGCCTGATGCATGCAAGGCAAACACTCTACTACTGAGCCACCTTCCCAGGATTACTTCCAGTTTTTTGAGCACTGAATTGCAGATAAAACTCTCCAGGGCTTTCCTATCTGGGTTGCCTTCAAACCACAATCTTCAGCTCTCATCTTTCTTAATAGCTAGGATTTTAGGCATGAGCCACAGGTCCCCTGCTTAAACCCAAATCAGTTTTTAATACTTTCAGCTGATTAGCCTTCATGATGGCTGTTAAATATGAAACGAATATACAGGCTGCCTAGCATATAAGCCTGCTCATCACCTCAACTTCAGCTTACTCCAATCTCCTTAAATTTGAGGCAGACGGGCCTCAGCAGCTAGGGTACATGCAGTTAATTTTTTAGGTCTGAAATGCAAGGACATAGAGAATGGCATAATTCCTGCCTGCTGTCATTTATGTAGGAAATCACAGGGAACTTGGGATCCCAAAGAGAGACTGATGGAAATACTTTCAGAACAAAATCTCCAAACTCTCCATGGGATGTCTGACACAATGTTCCTCACACACCAAATGTGACTACGTCAAGCTGTTCAAGAAGGAGGCATATTGTGATCCCACAGTCTTATACCAAAGCTCTGTTCCCAAGAGCACTAAGCTTGCTTGCCTTTTTTTCCCCTTCCTTATGGGGAAGTGAAGCCTATTTTACAAAAAGCTCATCCTTTGAGGTATCCCATGGTATAACTTTTAATATAAAGGGCAAGGGCACTACAATCAGTGCCAGAGGACTTAGGGCCAATGTAGGCTTCCCTGTTTTCCTCTCACTCTGGATCCTTTTCTCCATCTGTGGTTAGGCAGACCACCATTACCTCTGGAATCCATTTCCTGCTTCCTTCCTACTCTTCCCTACATAGCAGCCAGAATGATTATTACAAGAGATCTTCTATTTATCATGTCACACTCCTCCATAAAACTATTTTTCAAATGCATTTTTGCTGTTTTTGTAAAGGTAATGTAAGAGGGGTTACGTAGTTATACAGTCAGATAAAGAGTACATTTCTTCCTGAACAATGTCACCTCTCCCCTCGCTCTCTTGCAGTTTTCCCACCCATCCCCATCCACAAGTTGTATAGCTCATTTTCGACATAGTGTCTAGTGAGTACCACTGCTGCATTTGTTCACCCTTTGTCCCCCCATTTCTGTGCTCCTCTTCATTCTCCCAAAGACAGCAAGAACAAACAAAACAAAAAGAAATAAAAAACAAAAACAGCAACAAAAAAATCCCTTTTGTTTTATTTCCTGGAGTTCATTTTGATAAATATGGTTTTATGTGATCAGATGCACATAGGTATTGTGCCTTTGTGTTCCTCTCCTAAGAGTATCCTCCTTTGGTCTCACAATGGTAAATGCCTAGCGACCTACTGTATTTTTTTTTTTTTGGGGGGGGTCTGGTTGTGGGGCCTGAACTCTGGGCCTGGGAGCTGTCCCTCAGCTCTTCATCTCAAGGCTAGTGCTCTACCACTTGAGCCACAGCGCCACTTCCGGCTTTTTTCTTTTTGCTTATGTGGTGCTGAGGAATCAAA